ATGATCTCTGGACAGGCATTTTCTCTTGTCTGTTTTAATTCTGCCAGTGTCTTCAGTGCTGATTCCTTCCATCCATCAAGAGCTTTCCTCCTTTTGGAAGACACAAATAGATGTGCAGTGTAGGGGTTAACAGCCACTAAAATTAACATACTCTCAAAACCATAAATAACTTGTTCTGAAAATTGGAATAGCTAACTTAGAGGGGGAAGTCAAGTTCCACATATTTAACTTCAGCATTGTTAATCAGGACATTTGAAAGAAAATTAATATTTTCTCAGAGATTAAAAGCAAATTCAGTCTTTTTGAAAATCAGGGGGGGTTATTCATTTCAGTTCTGAGTGAAATGAGACTGGTAAAACTAACTGGAATTGGCATAATGAGTGCAAATTCTGAAATGCTTTTGCAGAGCAGTTTTGTTATCTTGCCATGTAGTTTCTCTGATATTTCAATAGACACTTTTCAATAGGCACAACAGAAGACTGTTGATAGTACTGAATAGTTCTAAATTATGATTTGAGGATGTTAAATTCTGACTGCTTGTAGCATTGCACATGAAAAATTTGAGCATCAAATAATAGCATCACTCTAGTAAAGTGGCAGAAGGTTTTTGTACAGAATGATGAATTATGTCCAATATTTAAAACTAGTCTCTTTCATTACTCGTGTCTCTCTTCACTCTGAAATTCTTTTTTTTTCCTATTTCTGTCATTGAGGTAAAGACAGGTACTCTACTCATGTCTTGGAAAGTGGTTGCACGATCCAGTGGCATTGCACATGAAGGAGCAGTAACTGACAGGAATTCCTGTGCCAGATCAGACTAATGATGCACACAGTTCAGCACCTTTTCTCCCAGAATCAGACAGTTCTAGATCCCTGTGCATCTGGATCTGATGGGTTTGCACTTCAGCATTTCGAGATTAGAGACCTGCAGCCAGCGCTGTGACAGTCCCTCTGAAGTGTCTGTCATTCCAGGGAAATACAGAAGGGGCTTTTCCACAGAAACAGGTATTTCTCCCACCTCTGGGGCACAGTGAGCCTCATGCACTCACTGGGTTGCTGCTGGCTGCTCACACACACCTTGCCTTCAGTTTTGTACCTCAGGCTCTCAGTGCTACCACTCCTCACTTCAATCAGCTCCCAGGGCATCCCAGAAGTTCTGGGCATCTAAAAGGCTTCCTCCTTTTTTTCTTCACATCACACATTTGGAGCTTGTTGATGCATCCCAACCTTTTTTTGGTAGAATCATGAGCTGTAGCTGCCAGCTGCATTGTTCTGCTGGAGTTTGGAAATATGGCTAGATTTTAATTAAAGGAACTGCTAATACCTCCTGGTTTTAAAGAGATGTCTGACATGTAGAATAGAACAAAAATCAAACTGGAGAAGGCAAAAACACAGCTGTGGTCACACAAGACATCATAAGCACTTTTTGGTGGTGTAAGCTCAGAGATGGCACTTTGTGAAGACTGCCTCTTTTTCATGCATGGCCTGAGGTAAAGAATGAGGTGTTCTGCACCACGGGGCTCCAGTCCTGCCTTTAAATGTGTGGCAGACGCTGCTGTTGCCAGTTCTGCAGAGAAAGCCAGAGTGTGTGTAGGTGTGACTGAGGGGGTAAATTTCATTTCAAGGGCTCATCTCTGAACAGTTCTATAAGCTAAGCAATGTGAATCTAATATTATAATTCCAAGGGGACTCTGATGCCGTGTGGTAAAATTGCTTATTAAATTACAATCACAAAAAAAAAAGTCAGGAGATAGGCACTGTTCAGCTGGCAGCATACAGGGAAAAAAAGGCTGAATTCTAATTATTTGAACAGTGGAGTTAGTGTTATTTCACTGTGTGAAAACAAAATTAGGTTATCACTGATATCATTATTAATGTATGAGATGAAGCAGAAAAACAATTTGTTTCCTAACACCCTTTCTGCCCCTCCTCCCCACCCCCAGCCCCCCCCCCCCAAAAAAAAATAAAAGAGAGAATAACCTAAAAGCAAAAAGGGCTTTCTAATGCAGGCATCTCTGAGAGATCTCATTGCTGTAGCAGCAAAATGTAGGTGATTTATAAATTATCTTAATTTGAAGGTGAGGCATTGTGCAAACAGTAAGTATTACATTTATTATTTCCCCAGTTAGATTAAAATATAAAAAGGCAGATCCAATATCAGTAACACTGTTTATTACTCTAATCAGAAACAGGAAATATATTTTCAGCCACTCTAAACCTTAGATGTTCTTTTATTATGCATGAGCAACTATTACTGCTGTTCAGTCATACATGTTCCTTAAGATACTCATATTGCAATCTCCACCTTTTGAATGGCTTTCAAATAAATAAAACAACTTTTTTGTATAAAATTATATTCTGCAACCATAATTAAGTGTTGAAATTCACATTTTCATGAATATAGCAACTTCACACGAGATGAATCCATTGTAAAAATTTTAGAGGTTTTTAGAAGCAGCACAAAAGTGTTTTATTTTACATTACAGCTCTGAACACATCTTATGCCCTTGAATGCAAACTGCTTTGAATTTTGTTCAGATTCTGTTCTTCATTCTCATTTTCACACTCAATGAGCCGCTACTGTTTCAGTCCAAAAGGGATCAGTCAGTGAAGCTGTGTCATGAAAGTAGTTATAGAGTCTGATAAAATTCTTTAAAACTCATTTTTATTTAGCCAGGAGTCACAAATCTAGCTGCAAACACTGCTCAAGATGTGCCATATCTTTTGAGTGTAATTTGAGAATACAAAATCAGATTTAAGAAAAGGATACAGTGTAAGGATAGTTTTCCTGTTATATCATCCATACTATGTTAATATATACATTAAAAGTAAAACCTATAAATATCCAAATTCCTTTGATTCACATGTATAATTTTGTCTTTTACCTACAACTAGATATTTAATTATTAACATAAGAATTTCATTAAAATTCAAAAAATAATAAATTATTAATAAAACTCTCCAAAACAGGAATCTTTCTGAGGATAGAATTAAACAAGTTTAGTGATAAAATTTTTGTAAGTAAAGAACTAAACCCAATCCAGTAGAAAGGACAAGGCCCATAACTCTGAGGTGTGAAGAAATATTTTTCAAATATCTTTTACAGTTAGACCCTAAAACTCTCTGTTTTTCAGATGCATCCTTTTGGTTTGTGTAAGGTACACATTTGTGGCACTGAATAGCTGATTTTTCCACTACCTCGGGGAGCCTGGCCTTGCATATTCCAGGAAAAGACCACCGAAACCAGACTGGGCAAGCAAACACCAAGTGCTCTTAACCAATTTCTTTAGAAGGTATAAATAAATATTTCCTGGAAAAGAGACAAGAAATCAGCGTGGCCTTTGCTTGGAGAACATCCTGTTACAACTCTCTTTTGTCCCCCTGTTTCTTCATTCACATTCCCAAAAAAGCATTCTTTATTGCTTCTTAAGTGGAACAGCTGTACCAGGAGGGGACCAAGAGCATCACACACAGCAGTGCTGGTGAGGGCAGGTGGCAGCAGGTGAGGCACAAAGTCTTCTGCATCTCTGATGTGCCAGAGGAGTGATCCAATTACCAGAATAATGGATAAATAAAAGGCAGATAGTGCAGGTATTTGGGCAAAAATACAAAAAATACCTTATTAGTGCTTAGATCAGTGAGTAATTCAGCACATGTGAAGAAGCAAAGGCTTTGAAAAAGCAGCTCCAAAAGATGTAAAAATGTCCAAAGGACATCTTTGCCATTGTCATAGAACATAAACGTTAACCATGCATTTTCCATCAGCAAGGAGAGTGTGGCTGAGTGGCACATCCCCATAGACACAGAGCCTGGATTTGGAACAATTTATTGGTAGAACAAACAGCTTCTCAACCAGCCAAAGTCAGGCCTCAACAAGTCTCAGATAATTTTTTATACATTCAAAGCAAATTAGCAGAGATTTACATACTTGTTTTTAACTGTGGCCTCTCTTCACTGCCAAATGGATGTTCTAGTTCATTTCCTCTTTTGTTTCAGTCAGAAATACAATTATAACACTGAGCAGAATCTATTACTGATTGTTGAAAGCAACTACTGCTGAGTGAGCTCAGCTCTACTGACTGCCTCCTTCTACCATCTAGTGGCACCTTCACTATACTGCTTTTCTCTCTCCAAAGAGTTCAGTGAGAACGATAATAAATGTACACTCTTGAAAAGCAAAAAAAAAAATACTTTGGAAATAAGCAATGTACCTGGAGAGGAAATACCTTTTTTTTCCCTCAGATGGAAAAGTAGTTTTTGCACAGAAACTATTTATAAGAGAGCAGAAAGGATTCATTGGTGCAAATTACTAATGTCAGAGAAAAATTCTGCATCCTATGGTCTTGTAAACAGTAAGTTAGGTTTGTTGATTGATTTCTTACTTTTTTTTTTGTTGTTGGGAGAGCTTGGATTTTAAGTTGTAGGCTGCAGAATGGCATTGTTGAATATCCTAAGGAAATGCTTATATAGAAGCAAACTTCTTTGTTTTCTACCTGGATATTTTAAGGGCACAAAAAAAATTAAAAGCTATCACCAAATGCAATGCTTTGAAAGCATATAGAACACGTGTAGTTTCTTTCCTGATTATACAATTTTATTAAGAGCTTTCAGTGCTCCATTTTGCAATAGATGTTTCTGTTTCATTTAGGGAAAAAGCTTAAATGTCAATGAACTAGGAATTTAAGGCTTGGGATGTTTTCAATCAAAATGCATGTTCTGATTATTTATATGACTGAACAAACATTAATCATCTCAAATGCTTTCTGCTCTTTGAACTGGGTTGTTTTCACAGAGGTAGGTATTGGTGAAGTAGACTATATATGAATTTTTTTTTTCAAATTCCATATTAAAAGACATATTTCTTCCTTCCACTTGCAGCAAATCGACATGGCAAATTGATGGAAGTCAGAATCCAGTTTGTTTGGATTTTTTCCTTTTCTTTTAAAACATATGTTATTCTGTATCCTAATCATCTTGACAAGTTTTCAACCTGTTTCCAGGGTGGAAAGATCCCCATCAGGTGGACTGCTCCTGAAGCCATCGCTTACCGCAAGTTCTCCTCAGCCAGCGACGCCTGGAGTTACGGAATTGTCATGTGGGAGGTGATGTCCTACGGAGAGAGGCCATACTGGGAGATGTCCAACCAGGATGTGAGTGTTGCCCAGGATTCATCTGCATCTTTTTCAAATGTGCTTTAAAAGTTACTGCCACTCCCTACCCTGCTTTGCTGTCTCATTCTCTTTCTAGGCTGGAATCTCAATTTTAAAAAAGAACAAATTTTCTTCTAGTATAATTGAAAGCTTGTTCTATAAAGAGAAATATGGGAAAGGGGAAATGGTGGTGGTTCTTTTTCTCTGGCACAATTTAAATTTTCACAATTTCTCTTGTTTGATGGATCTCTGTGGCAGCTCAAATTGCTACATTCAGTCTTCACACCAACCATCAAGCTCTGTGTCAAAATGTGGAATACCAGCCAAGCCACCTTAACCTCTCTCATATATGTGCCTAGAATATTCTTGCATTGGTTCTGAAGAATTGACAAGACTTTCCCAGATGGCTGTTTTTACACTGTTGCTTAGTTATTCAGCTGTTCAAGTCTGGTTGCTTGTTAAGGCTGATCGGTCATTTGGGGATAAGGATCTGAAAGAGATTTTAATTTTAAAAAATAATTTCACTGCTTCAGGAAGAAAAGGAAAGAAATAACCAAACCTGTCAGAAACAAATAAAAGACTATCACAAACCTCTCCATTTAGAATATATTAAATAATCAGCTACAGCATGAAGATAGCAACATTTAATTACTCCTACATCCAAAATAAAAGTGTCTGGTAATACAAAATGATGCTGAAGGCCCTAATGATGCCAGTTGCTGGGGGCTTTCCCTGAAGTTCAGCAGTTCCCAGCACAAAGGACTCCTTTTCTCCTACCCAGAGGATTTCAGTGCCAGAATGTGAGCAGGGAGCATCTGTGACCTTCTACATATGTTTAGTGACTTCAGTTGTCATTGGGAAATTTCAAATTATTAGACATAATGTAAAGTTTATTTTACTGATATTGGGACCATTCTTTTAGTACAGTAAACTACTGTGAATTCACATGAGCTTATTTTGCAGAAATAATAGGACTTTCAAAGGTCAGTGGTACTGTACAGATGGCAGGGAAAACAACAGAGAGGAATGTGCCCTAAACAGATTCAAAAAGGACACAGGATACAAACAACAGTTAATAAGGTCTTGCATGGGTATAGTCAGAGGCTCTGCTACATCAGAATGTCTGCTGACATTACCATTAAGACACTTACTGAGTTTTGATCATAATAAAGCCCTTCTCTAAATAACAATTAAAATATTTCTTGAATTGGGTGGATTTTGGTAGATCACCAAAAGTTTTCCAAATATAAACTCTGCAGAACTGGGTCTGTTTGGTTTGGTTTTTTTTTTTTTTTTTCCTCATTCCATCTTAAACCAAGTGCTTTTTTAATTATACAACTTTGAGATATGAACTCACTTTTTTAGACCATGGCTAAGTAAGTGATGAACACAGCTGATGAGAGAAGTTTTAAACTGGTACATGCCACCTAAATAAACCCAGTCTGGTGTTCAAAGACAACTGCTCACAGGTATCCAGAACGACTCAACACCTCTGCAAATCCAGGATCCTCTATTTATATTCCCCAGCAAGGATTTGCACACTGAACTTAAGGAAACCGAGTTGCAGAATGTTTCTCATAAAATTAATACTGTGTGTGGCATAATGCAGAGGCTTAAAAATGTTGCTAAGTTTGAGAACTGCTCTTGTTTAAGTAAATAACCATTTTATTATTGTGGTAAGTCACTTCCAAACTGTGTTGGTGCTGATTAATGCACTTCTTAGATGTGTGGCAGGCACCAGAGGTGTCCATTAATTAGGGCTGCTGCACAGTCTGTCGTGTCTTATTGCTTAATTAATAAACATTAGCCAAGATATTGAACTTTCCAAGGAAACTAGTATACTGATGAACAGATTGTGCTAAGAGTCTGGCTTGCTAATGCTCATGTGAGGGAAGGAAGATTTATATTCCATGCATTTGGTTTGTAGAACAGCTGTGAGTGAAGTCTACTGGGACACCTGTTAGAGGCCACCATATAAATGAATGCATGTTGCAGAGCTGCAGTACTCAAAAAGGAAAAAAATGAAAAGAATATTTAATGGGTTGTAATTGGTATGCAGGGAAACTACTGTAGCAAACAGAATAAAACTCCTGAAAGTTTCTTGAAATATTCAAAAAAACTAACTAATCCTAATATAGGTCTTTCAACTCACAGATATCAAAACACTTGGCTCTGTACCATGAGGCAGCAGCAGCTGCTTCTCCCTCCTGGTAGATTGTTCAGATGTCAGGAGGACACAGGGACAATGTCCCTCTGGACTCACTTCTGTCTCAGTCTCATTAAAAAAGCTGTCAGTTAACTTTTGAAAGCAAGAATCCCTGTTACTATTAATAATGAAACTATCAGGAAGATTACAGCTTCATTTTCACATGTCATTTTCACCAGTTGCCAATTATTTTGAAATGGCATACATATAAATTTTTTGTAGAAGTCCATAAAATATTGCTCAGACAATCATAAACAATATGTAATATTTACTCTGTTAATATTCAAACTTCACAGCTATGTCTAACATCAAACAAGCTGTTGCTGCACCCTTCCTTTAGATGCAGATTTCATGATTGATGTGGTGCTTTGTCAGCCTTAAACTGACAAGGGAAAAAGGCATTTGAGAGGAGTTAACATGTAAAAGCTTAACATATTTCATAATATACAATTTTCTATTACTAAGAAAAACTTAATACTTCTTCCCTTTTAGGTACATGGATATCTGATTTCTCTGAACAGAGAGATATGGGTGCTATGCACATGGTAGAGCAAAAGCTAAAATAAATATATAAATAAATAACTAAAATGCTCTAATTCTTCCTTTGAGGCTTGATTCCCATTGCAATATTAGACACTTTTCACATCTTTACTCTTGCTTCTTAGAATCTAAAAATAATACTTGCCTCACAAGGGATACTAATGAGGCAATATTTCCAGTTTATTTTTTAAATGTGCTAGTATTAATGAGAAATTATAATTATCCCAGTACCAGCTGGCATTTCTCTTCATACTGAAATGTTCCTTTTGAACAAGAGAGGAAACAAAATGCACTGTGACTTCTTTTTCAGAGATATGTTAAAATAAAGTGTAGCAGAGAAAATATATCTGGAAAATTATGGTTGCTTTTGGGTTTTTCCTGAATAAATTACTTCAGGAAAACTTCATCAGCCCTCTATTGTTTTGTTGAGCAAATACTATATGTCTCTGAAAAGTAGAGCAGTTTTCCTGCTGCCTTAAAAACAAAATACATTTCATAAATTCTACATTTGCAACAGGCACAGTTAAATGTGAAAGTTTCAATGTCTGCATTTCTGAGCTGCTAAGGATGGCCAGTACCAACTAAGCTTTGCCCTTCTCTGTCAGGAGTGTTTTATGAACCCACTTCTGACAAACTGCTTGAAATACACTAATAATAAGTAGAAAAACAAATGTGAATAAAATTCCATGCACATGGTTGAGTTTTGCCCATCCTGAGTCCATGGGGGCATTTTTATCACTGGGAGGCAAGGTTCTGAAGGAAATACTTCCTTGGCAATGGGATGATGGCATTTTTTCCTGTAACAGCAGCATGTACCTTTACAGGACCAGGTCACCTGTATTTATAAAACACACAAGCAGCTGTGAGCAGCTACAAAAGGCTCGTTCCATTTCCTGCCATGCCATCAAGGGGAGCTCAGGTCCTAATGTGGCTTCCTTACTCTTATTTTATTTACATAATGCTTGCAGCATAAGCACTAGGCATTGCTGAGCAGAGCCAGCATTAATTCAGAATTCAAATAAAGAACAGGGATATTTCCAGGATAATAAGATTGAAAATATTGAAGCCAGAGCTGGTGCTGTAAAACATTGATTTGCTGTAAACAGTTTAATGTAACCCCTTCCAGCTGCATTAATATGTCTGCAGCATGTACATCCATGTGAAAATGATGAATGTCTCCTTGCAGCTCAGTGGGTATCAGTGCAGCAGGTGTGTTCCTCCTAAGTGCACTGTGTGGTTATAAATATTGTGTGCAATCATTTGTACATTAGAAAATATTTAGCATTGGCTGAATTTTTATGTGGGAGGGTTATGCATGTGTGGTAAGGCTGGTCTTTTTCCTAGCTTCGTTTTTGATCAGCCACTGACTAGTTTTGCATTCCTTTTTACACAGAAAAAAAATCCTGACTGTATAATTTGTAACATCATCCCCACGGCAACCACCATTCATTGCAGAACCTCCTCACCTTCCCTTGTGTTTTTTAAACCTTACATAGGATGAATCCATGTAAGCTGTTATGAATCCATGAAGCTTTCAATGGAACTTACCTAGTTTTGCTAACTCCTGTCAAGCCAGGGTGCTACTCTTCTTTTCAATCAATGCTTTTTGCTTCCTGTGTTACTAAAAACAAGCTTTCATTTGACTTGGATCAACATGTGATTTACATGATTTTCATACATGTGATTTACCTGTGGCAGCAGACCTGTTTCTTCTGAATCTTTACCAAACACATTTTCTGTATCTGCAGAATCTGAAGGTCTCACTCACTTTAGGGTAATACCATAATTTTATTAACTTTTGTTTAGTCACAAACATCTCGGACATCTAGCTTTTTGAGGGAGAACGTGCAAAATAACATTGCTGTAACTTGATGTGGGAGACCTTGCCAGAATTAATCATACTCCAAGGACCAGCAGAAACATGTGAATACCAAGTAAATTGTCAGGTGCCGCAATGTGTATTTGTGGTGCTTGATTGTACTGGGGCATTGCTACACACAAACACTGTGTCAAAATGCAAATATTAGAGCATGGTGGGATGCAGTGGCCACACCAGGTAAGTTTGTGGCCCCCTGAAGTGGAAAAGATGGTGGTATTGGTGAATTCTTTATTCCCCTCCTGCTTCCTTAGCTGTTTGAAAAGGATGACCAGGGACTCTAAAAAAGTTCCTACTGTGTTTCATATGCCTACAAAACATTTCCTGTCTCCTCTGGTCACACCCCTGCAAGTCCTGATTCCCCGAGTGAAGCCCCAGCAATGCATAAAGTGATGGTGGCTGTGCCATGGATAATTTATCATCCCTGGTTCCTAATTATCAGTGTCACACTGTCCTTTCAGCTTTTAATGCCTGGTAACCATACAGATTGTATTTCTGTAGGTTATACTGTCCATTGAAGAGGGCTACAGGCTTCCAGCTCCCATGGGCTGCCCAGCTTCTCTTCACCAGCTCATGCTTCACTGCTGGCAGAAGGAGAGGAACCACCGTCCCAAATTCAGTGACATTGTCAGCTTCCTGGACAAGCTGATCCGCAACCCCAGCACCCTTCACACCCTAGTGGAGGATGTCCTTGTGTAAGACCCTTTTGGTACATTCTGTTTTTTCATAACACATAGTGGCTATCATTATGTGGTTTAGGGTATTAAGTAGGAGTGGGAGAAACACAAAGTTATGAGTTCATAAAGTCATACAGGTTCAAATAATTTTAAGCACTTTTCAAGTTTGCTTTATTGTTAATATACTGTTGTGCAAGGAGGTTTTTTTCCTCAAACCATGCAGATTATATTAGGCTTTTTTATTATTATTTTTGTCTGAGTTCTGTTTGTGCATTATGTATCCTTTATCTTTGTGAATCTCTTTGTTCTATTTTTTTGGTGCATGTGTTTTTCCTACAGGCTTGTTTTCTCTTTGTAATTTTTTTCCTCCATTCAGCAGCCTGTCTCTCCATCTGACAGTGCTCAAGCAATTTCTCAACTGACTTGGAGTAATATCTTGCAGAAAGTAGCTGTGTCTTAGCTTGCTAAATCTTTATTTGTCTGCAGCAGAATGGTAGCAGTGACCAAATAAGAGACTATGCTGTTACCATCCCACAAAAGAATCTTGCTAGTGTTGCCCGGGGTTTGTTTTTTTTTCATTAATAATATTTCAGAAATGAATGCAGCCACAGGATAAGCAAGGCTGAGGTGGAAGAATTTGTCAGTATTTGTAGGCTTATTGATCCAAGCTGTCCCTGCATATATCAGTTGAATTCAGCAAAGGTCCAAGTGGCCTCACTCTCTTCAGTCACTAAGAGTCACCTTAAGATAAAGGTGCTTTCATGGAGACCCCCTGGACTTTTAAGGGCTTCCCAAGCCCTGAGTGAGGCTTGCTGAGAATCTTTCAACGTTTTTGAGAAGGGCTGAGCAACAAGGCAAAATTGGGGCTGGTACCTTGCTGTGGGAAAGACTGAATGGAGAAGTTGGTAGGAAAACCTGGAGTTAGGGCTACAGCCATTTCTTCAACACAGACTATGGAGACTTGTGGGATTAAATATCCACGCCCTAGAGTTAGCATCCTCTGTGTGTGTATGCATATAAATATATATATATGGATTGGTAGTTGATTGATTGATATTTAGTATCAGAATAATGTATTTTTATCTCTTTTTATTTTTAGTCATAACTTAAGGTCTAAAAAACTTATGCTCTATTGAACTATGACTGGCTTCACCTGCTTGTGAAAGTTTTTTTTCCATTCATTTGAGAATGCTTGATGCAGTTTTGGGTAACCTATAGAATCATAGAGTAATTCAGATGTGAAGGGGCCATGGTAGGTCTTTAATTACAGTTTGTACTTAACAGTGTTCTCCTGTCCTTCAGCTTCTCCCTCTGTCATTTTGATAATATGAATGAAAATCACTGTACTTACTGTATTTGAGTATGTGTGGGTGAAACTTGGTTCATTAAGATATGAGGCTGTGTTGCTTCCTATGTTACACATGAAGTCATGTTCCATCAGTAAATGCTGGCTGGCTTTTGCTGTCTAAATTGTCATTTACAATAAATTGTGTCCTTCTCCCTTTCTCCTAAAGACTATCATAAAGCTTTTACAAACAGCAGTGTGCATTTTCTGCATTTTGTTCATACAATTTTTCTACACAAAATGCATAAAGACAGTGGAAGTTGTGAGCCCTCCCAAATGTGGCACACAACAGAAGACTGGAAATCAGTGCCCCAAAATTGCAATATTTTATTTTTTTCAATCTTTCTGTTTCAGTTGTGATAATATTAGGGGAAAGAAGTTCAAACGAAATGTGACTAAATTAGCTCCTTCCACTTTATTTGCTACTCTATGTAATTCTATGTAAAAGCAAAGAAAAGACATTTTATTCTTTTGGCTTCTCTTAGCTTTTGAGTACTGTAATCAAAGTGTTCCTGTAGAATAATGGTACCACAATAAGGAGCCTTCTGGGGTGGCATGGTTGTAGATAAATGTAAGAATCATCTCATGGTGGTTTAATTTTTTAAATTGCACCTTATGCTAAATTTTTATTGTCCTCTGCATGGACTACTGTATCAACAAATTATTATAATCCTGAACTTCTCAATCTGTAAGGAAATATTCTGGGGAACAAAAAGAAGTGCAGTGGGAGAGGCCCTTTCCTCAGAGTATTACTGAGCTGCAGTTCTTTAATAAAATGTATTGTTTAAGTAGTGCAGCTTGGCAGACTGAAGTGGTTTATAAGTTTTAGACAAGAGGTTAAAGAGATCCTCAGTTAAGGTCTGACCTTTACAACTCAGACTCCTCTCTTATTCCTTCTGCCTTTTAGTAAAACCTATGTCTACCAGGGTAAATTGGGTGTCATGTTTTGTATTGCTTGGTAACTTTTGCTTGTTTGTTTGTTTGTTTACAGAATGCCAGATTCACCTGGTGAAGTTCCAGAATATCCTTTGTTTGTTTCAGTCAGTGACTGGCTGGATTCCATAAAAATGGGTCAGTATAAAAATAACTTCATGGCAGCAGGTTTCACAACTTTGGATATGGTTTCAAGAATGAATATTGAGTAAGTATATAATATATTATCCCTACAGTGACTAATTAATCTGAATTTGGATGCTGCAGACACACAAATATTGTGGAGTATGGAACAGTGCTTTAATTTCCTTTCCTCCTTCAGCTCACGAAAGACAAATACAGTTATTTAGCAAAACAAAATAAGAGAAATGTATGATGGAGAGACCCAGAATTGATAGATCAACTCTGTGACCACACCAAACACAACCAAAGGCCAGGGATGAGCGTGTTTCTTGGGGAGCCAGTTTTGATCTAGACCACTGAAATCAGTGGCAAAAATATTTTCTTACTTTGCTATGAATGTCATCAAGACTTTATCAGTCCTGATAACGAAGTTGTTCCAGCCATCTGTGACACCACCCTGTGGTTTTTTAATGCAAACCCTGCACTCAGTATAGAAGTGTTTGGGCAAACTGTGGATTCATACGGTAGCTTGATGATGGAATCTGTTTTGCTCTCTATTCCCTTCCCATAAATTCCCAATCTTTTATTTGATGCTGGGACTGCCTGTATTAATAGCTGTTAGTTAAGATTAAAAAATTTTACATTTAAAGTTAGGACTGATTTTCTCCCATGTGCATCATCTAATACTCACCTGCATCTAATTCCATCTATTGCACAATGACATAGTCACTTAGTCTTGTGAGATCCTTCCAAAACTGCACAGCTGCCCCATTCCCTTCCTACCCTGAACAATTCAGCTGAGTTGTTCACCTCTTGCTCACCTGTTTTCCCAGACCATTTACTGATCTGCTGAACAATCATGTTCAATGATATCCCAGCAGAGGTCCCTGCAGATTTATATCAATAACTACATTGTGAAACCTGACAATTTACTGCTAACCTCATGTATTTAAACCAGTTATTTAGTCATGCAAAGACCACACTATGCTACATATTATGTTATACCCTATATTACACAGAAGCTGCTCCTCATTTTCATTATAAAGCTTTTGTGAGGAATCTTCTCTAAAGCTTTTGGAAATCCAAGTGAGGTGTATCAAATGGATCATCTCCATCCATTGGAAACAAGTAATTTTATAAACCAGAACTTTTATTTGCAAAAGCCATGGTGACTGAAGTAGTTCCTTTATCCAAGCATCCAGTAATTTTGTACTTTCCTGTAGTTTCTCTTATGCCCTGTAATGACCACAGACTCATGGGTCTGTGGTTCCCCAGATCTTCCCTGGAAACATTTTATCTGGCACCATGCTCTATACTTCAGGCACCAAGAACTTTTTTAACATGTGGAGTACAGCTGATAACTCCCTCTCTCACAACCCTGATAATAACTCCATTATTTCATCTTCACTTCCTTTTGGAACTTTTGCCTAAATATAATCTTCTCTGGACATAGGCTGTTGCCTTTTTTTTTTTTTTCAGTTTGTCCTATAAGCTGTCCTGCAGCCACTTTAGACAGATACTCTGGCAAGTCCCCCAGAAAGGATCTGGCATGGGAGTCATTTCAATTTCTTCCACAGTGAATGTCAACTCAAATGGTTAAGTCTTCCAACAATGGCCATTCCTTCAGTGCTCTTTTATGCCCAAATCATCATTAGACTCTACACATTTTTAGACAGGTTTCTTGTACCCAAGGAGTTTGCAAAAAGATTTATTATAAGTGTAATTTTTTCTATTTTACTGTTTGGGTTTTTTTTTTCTGTTTGCTCCTCAAGTTCCTTTTTAGTCTGTCTTACTGTGCTTTTACAGCTAATCTAAGGTTATCATCCTTTCTACTTTAGATCCCATTTCACCTTTTTGAGTGATTCCCTCTCTCTTCAAATAATTTGTGTTACACAAGACCTGGCTTCTTTCTGTGCTTTATCTAGGTCTTCCTTGATAAATGCAAAGCATCAGTCTTGTATTTCTAAAACCACTCTCCACTGTAAAGTTTTATTCTTTAAACTGACTCCTTTTATCTTCTCAGATGCTCAATATTTTTGCTTACATCAAGTGTTGTCTATCATGTCCCATGAGAATGTTAAGCCTAAGCATGTAATAGTTGCAAGCTCTGCAGTGGTTCCTCAGCTGGAGGATACCAATCTGGAGATCAGATGCAGATATCTAGAAGTGCACATCTGAAACTCGTGAAGGCTATGCCTTATCCCATGAGCTACTTTACTGGTTTTATCATCATACAGTTTTTGAGGATAAACAGGCAATATCTGTCTATGTCCCAGTGTGGGATTTGCATAATGGACAAATCTGGCATATCTGAATTTTTTTTGTCCTCAGCACCTCTGTGATCTTTCTCAGATCTTGCTGCTGGGAATGTTTATAGAAAAACTAAGTTGGTGAATTGTGCTGAACTCTGGTGGCTATTGACTTTATTCCTGCTAAAGAGTCGAGCCCTGCAAGTAATAAGAGCTACCCACTCTGGGATGCGGGGCTAGATGAGATAAAGGGGAGCTGGGAGGGAAATCAGGGTCTGTCTGGAAGATTCACTGCTAATTTGATCTTGAGACCATCTCTCACTACCATTCCCCAAATCATCAGAAGCACAACCTCAGTTATTTCTGCCTCAGAACTGCAATACTGAATGTGTAAGCCCCAGTCTTTTACAAGTATGAGTGGGAAACAGTTGCTACAATTACATTACTAAAAATGGGCTATTGGAATTAACCTGATTAGTCCTTGACATTTAGAAAGATTAATTGACCATTAGTATCACTAATAAGCCCCAGTATCACCAATTTAGAGCACTAAGCCCCAGTGATGTAAGTACATCTTTTTATTATATTCTTTTTATTAAACTACTGTTTTTTCAAAAGTTGAAATTGACAGATGCAGAAAAACTGAAAATTTGCAGCTTTCTTATATGCCATAGCCAGGGAGGTAAACTGTCCTGGAGAAGAAGTCATCATATAATTACATTCTTTTCTGCACCAGAGGCTTTATTATATTTGCATCCAAGATGAAACTTTTTATCTTGCAGTGACATTAGAAGAATTGGAGTTGCACTCATTGGACACCAGAGACGAATAGTCAGCAGTTTACAGACTTTGCGGTTACACATGATGCACATACAGGAGAAAGGATTTCATGTATGAAAGTAATAGAAGCAACTGTGTTTTGTGCCTCAGCATTTCTAAAATGAAAACATATTCTCATTCTTCCCTCCTGCTCTTCCCAACTTCAAGAACTGCAGTCTCCAGTTCAGACTATACAAGTACTTCTATGTTAATGCTTCCAAACCGGAATTTTTAATCACACTGCACAGCTCCTCCACCAGTTCTCTGCCGATAAAATCCTGGCCTACTGCAAGACTCGTGCTACACATTGATGAATAACTCAGCATGGATGTGTAACTTTGTATAACAGTATTTGGGAAACTTTCATGGACTTACTTGAAAGTAGTAATCTATTTGGCCTGGTGTGGCTTCTTTCTCAATGTATTTAGAATTTGCTGGTAGATCAAAAAGTATTTGACTCCTTTCATGTTCTGTGACCATGTAACTTCCAACACCAAATGTGCAATCAAAAAGAAGTTTAACATAAATATTTATTTTATCTCTTAATTAAATCCAAATGTATGTGTCCTATCATTATATTACTTTCTAATAGTTTGAATTCTGGTAAGCTGGTGCCTCAAAACATTAAGTATTGTTTGCAGAAATGACTGATGATTTTATATAGTGAGTTTTCATTGTGTGAATAATTGGAAGCATAGTGAGAGTAATCTGTTTGAAATCTTAAGGAAGGTTCTTGATTTTCAATTACTTTAGCACTCGACACTTTTTATGCTTTAAATTTTAGGTTAGGTTGGAAAACTTGTTTATCCTTGGGATTCCTCACCACCCGACAACCCTTTTTTTTTTTTTTAATGTAATACTCAGCATTTGCTTCTACTACTGGAAAACTGGTTGTAGTGTTCTCATGACCACATGTAAGACACGGTTGTCAGCTCTGTTGCAGACACACAGATTTCAGAAGAGCTTTGTGTTTCAAACATGCAGGTCTCTCTTGTTGGATAGAGAATCACCTCCAGCAGCAGAGCTCAGAGGGCCAGCCATGGGTGGGGTGATGGGATCATTCCCATAGGAGCAGGCCAGCCATATCCTCCTCCAGCTGAGGGCAGCGGTACAGCCCCACTGCTGCTGGAAGTTACAGGCTGCAGGATGCAGTAATCTTGCACAAAGGCAGAAAAGAAGATGCAGGACAGCAGTGTGGTAACATGTTGCCTTGAGCCTACTTCTAACTGCTTTTAGAAGTTAAAAAGCAAACTCTGCTGAAATGGAGCTCTGGTTATTCCAGGCCAGATCTTCATTTAGTACAGATCTCTAAAGGACATCCAAGGTATTACCTTTAGAGCCCTTCAATAGCCATATTTACATGCAAGAAAACGTCAGCAAAGGCCTAACATGATATTTGTACCTCTCTAAGACTTCCCGCTTCCATGTTTTGTTCAGACAACTGACACAGACATGCTGGGCTACATTTCCAAACTTTTGCATGGGATATGCACTCCTGGGAGCAGGGGCAGGACCGCATGGCCGTGTGCTGTGGGAACCCCACGCAGATCTACAATGCATGTCACATGTAATGCTGTGCAGATGCTTCTCTTCATTCCTGTGTCCTTTGGAGGGGATATTTGAGTTCCCTGGCATTCCAATGTACTCAAGCACTGCAGTTCTTTTGTTAAAACGTGCATTTGGGTAATTAGTATAATCTATGTGTATATCAAAAGGAACTAACTACTTTGTGTAATCATAATGGTATTTACTGCTTCATTTACAGCTTGTAAATCACAAGGTATTTCCTAAGTCTTGGAAAAGGCTGCCATTGTATATCAGTGACAAAGAATGAAAATCAGAAAGCAACTCAGAAAAGATTATGCTTCCAACCAGATCACAGAGTAAGACACACGAGGCCTGATTCACTGTTGTCACTTTATGTTGGAATAATTGCATTAATTTAGATGAGATAATAATAACACACTAAGTAATTTTTTCTTTCTTTCATTAAAAAAAAAAAAAAGGGGGCAGATGTAACAGAAGGACAAATTTTCTAAAGATCAAGAGTCAGTGTTGTTCTACAATGCCAATTTGATGAGCTTGTTTAAAGAAGGGCAGCTTCAATCTTACTGTAGCTCCAAAGGTAATTTTATCAACAAGAGTATTCCCACTGAAGTCATCAGTCTGGCACAAGGACATGAGTTTTGCAGAATCACAGCCCTTCAGTGGGGAAAAAGTCATTTGTTCTTTTCTGTGACTGTCACTTGAAAAATTCTGCCTGAATTCCATATTTGTATAATTTTTTGGTAGAGGTGCTCTTACAGAAAGAAAACTATACCTACCTGAAGCCTTTCTAAAAATATTAACACACCACAGAGTAATTTAAAAGTGGATTTTGCTTCATCATTTTATTATCCATTTTGCCTATCATTGCTTCCATGGCCAACAACAGGACATCTGTGGTATGAGCCTTTCTCACTATTAAATTACTGAGGAGGTATGAGTCTGTTATTTGTTAATGGGGTTTCAAAGTCCTTCATAGCTCACCCAAACCATGTATGTGCACTTTTAGATTGTCTTTTGCCATTTTTTTCATTCCTGGTAGTGAGGATGCAGAATTGACATAGTTATATGCACACAACCTGGATTTATAGTTCATTATATTTAATGAAAATTAATTTCTAAATTTATCATACTACTGAGAATATTTTTTCAATAGAAAAAATATAAAAAAGTAAAACATTTATTAATCGGATATATTTTTTATATGAACAAGAATTTGGGTGACCAGAAGGGAAAGAACAAGGGATTCTTTGAGTAAGCACATTTGTTAATAACATTGTAAATCCAGGATTTTGTGGCTTTGCACAGCTTGTTTTTCTGTTGCTGTTGTGGTGCAGTATGAAATTTATATATGAAATTTACATTTTCCCCATTTTTGAAATGTTTTATTTGCTCTTGTGCTGATTCTTAGTCTATTCTTGCTTTAGTTTAGGGATTTTTTCATATTTTTTAAATTTAAAAACAAAACAAAAAAACAACCCTAACAGGTATTATTTTTTAAATAATTTTTCAAATGTGAGCTTAATTCTGCACAGGCCACAAATGTATATGTGAAATTAGAGTAAACTTCTTTGTTACAGGAAATTCTTTCTTCAGGAGAAAATTAGCTCTAATTATCCTGCATACTGCAGTGGGCAGCTGGAGTTTAAATTTGATAAATTAAAACAAATTTAGTAGGCTGATTTTGAGAATCTGGCCCACATTGCAGAGTGCTTTATGACTAAAAGTATCCATTGAAAGTTCATATGTTATTTGTGCAACATGCAAGCAAAAAAAAAAAAAAGGTGTTATAATGTGGATGTCATAAAGAAATAATTCTTACCTGTTTCTCTGCATTCAGTGATAGCTCATCCATTCAAGTATCTGTGCTTGGTCAGATGAATTTCATGCCTTAATTGCATCCAGTCGTTTTGCTGAACCTGTAAAACAGAGGAGGTCTTGTTCATGATGTTCATGGTGTTAAAACTGAACAAGGCACAGCAGAAATTTTAGCAGAATTTACTCATTATGTGTTTGCACATTGGAATGACTGAGAAACAACAGGAAGCCATGAGGTGAAAGGAAGAGAATTGAGCCACATCATTTAAATTTTTCTCAAAAAAAATTTACCCTTTTTTGTTTCCTGTGAACTTAAGTCCATTGTCTGTCCAATAAAAGCTTAGAAACATGCCATGCTTCAGGACATCAGACAGCATAAAGCAATCCTTTATTTGCAAATAGCGCACTCAACAATAAATTCAAATAAATTAGTTGTTATGGCCAAACATTCTGTGTCCAATATTGTATTAGGTATTATTTGGATTATTCTGACACAGAACTCATAGACTGCAGTACTTTGATTTTTACATCACTTAAGACTGACTATCCACTTGCCATTTTTCATATGAGCCTAACACAGGGCTTCATTAATTTCTTTTTTCAGTGCAGATTCCTACAGGATCTAAAGATGGGTCATAAATAACAAGCAGACCCCCTTTATCCAGAATCATTTGAGATTCATCATGAGGAATAGCTGGGACTGTGGAGGTGCCTAGTGAGACTGCATTACCCACAGCAATTTCCATATCAGAATGACCCCATGGGACCACATCAACCACCAAGGTAAAACAGCACAGAACATTCTTGACCTTGTATTGAAGAGCAGGTCCTCTTTTCCAGCTGGCCCTGTTGTAAACTGCAGCATTTATTGAACTGTTTTACCTCAGCTGATGGAATGGTTCTATGGGACACATTTTGGCAGCTCAGAATTCTCTTAAGAACACAGGGTACCTGTAACTACCTGTCATGGGTTCACTCTGTCTTGGAATATTCCTTCAGAGAGTGAAAAGCAGGACTTGCCTCTAATCCAGTCCAACATTTTTTCAGTTAAAATCATAATAAAAAGTCTGTCTTCCATTGCATCTTTCAGGAAAAGTACAAAAAATAGAGACACTTGCAGCATTTGCACATGGATGAAGAACGCTGTATTCCGTTAAATAGTTTTCTTCCAGAATACCCTTGTTCACCAATTGTAATGAATCTTTCCTAAATAAATTGCAAAGATAATTTCTTTTTTATAATAGTACTATAATTATTTTTGAGAGTGAAGGAAAGATGCGTTGGGTTGGGCTAACTCTTAGGAGGACGATGACCTTGAAATCTCCTGGGGAGACAAATGAATCAGCTCTGAAAAGTAAAAAAAAAAAACTTTACAATAAGATAAAAAGGGAAGAACTGTTCATACTGTGCCAAGGAGCTCAAAAAAACCCCAAGAGTTGCATAAGATAGTGCCAGGTACTTACAGCTGACAAAATTTTCCACCATCACATCCTGTATTTAGTAGTGCACACTGCCCCACGAGTGTTGTATATAATTCCTCAGATCATGGACCAAGATATGGTGAACATGTTATAGTTCAAATATTTGTCTATATGTACATAAAGAATTGTAAATAGGATGTATATCATAATATCAGATTTTTCAAACCTACAGAATTAATTACCTATTACCAACAACACTAACAGGGTTTATTTGCTCCATTTGCTTTTAAAAGTTTTAGTGGCATGCACTGTGTGTGTATAGTTCTTCCCACTGTGTGTATATAATTCCTTGGCTTGTTAGCTGGAAATGGACAGCCTCTCTTTTCCTCCACTGGCAGGAAAAACATTTTCAAACTAGCTCAGAGAAAGCTGCCTGCTCACCCTTCTGCTGCCACCTCACCCAACCCCTTCCTGCTAATTCTCTTCAACTCAGCTGATTACTGTAGAAATTAGTGATCTCAAAGAGGAAGCAAGGTGCCCATGAGCCAGCAGAACTAGGAAGTTGGAGTCCATGCTATAAAGAGTTTTCAGTTCATCTGCCGAAATCACCAAAGATGTTTACAGAATGTATAAATTATTTTCTTTTAAATGACCATTTATAGACACCTAGGAGGTTAAAATGAGAAAAATTTTCAAGGGTGTATGAGTAGGGATATGCCAACATATAGCATAAAAAGATAAGCTGACTTTTAGAAGGGAAAAACAACAACAGTTGATGAAAACCTAAGGTTAAAAATAGATTAAAGTATATTTCCATATTTTATATGTGAAATAAGGTGATACCAGTTCAGTGGAATTTATTTATGTGTATATTTCTTTAAATATCCTGCATGAGTTAATCTTACTTACCTTTTGTGCAAGAGATTTCACAAGTACCTATCTCTTCCAGAAAGTTTAGCATATTATCTTATCTTTTCATACCTGAATAATTAAACTGGAATAAAAAATGCAAGTTCTGACAGTGAAGATATGGGGGGAACAATAGAATTAAAAAATCTGTCTCAAAGTAATTTAAAGTTTTCACATCTGTTCTACTTTGTTTCTGTCCAAAATTTTTACCTGTATCTATCTGAGAACTTTGACTAGTTCTGCACACATCTCAGTGCCACCTCAGAAACTCCTGAATCTGTAAACAGTTCTGAGTTTGTGCAGCTTAATTCATATAAAAAGGCTGATTTGAAATGGGATTTATATAAGACTAGAGTTCGGCATAATCAAAAATCAAAATCCCTATAAAGTATCTGTCAGACAACATGAGATAAGATATTTTGCCTTATTATACTAACACCTCTTAATTTCTGACAATTGAGTGAAGAACTGGTCAGCAGCAGCATGTATGTTGAGTGGTAGGTAAACCAAAACCCTGACACTGAAAACCCACAATTCAAAGAGAAATCCAGGTCTCTGCATTCTGAACTATGGGATATCAAGAGACTGGAGAAAGTAACCTTGAATCTAGAATCTGGAAAATCAGGTTTGGGAGAAAGCTGCTTTGGAACACAAATTTTCCTTTCTGGTTGTGGGTCATGGAAAAGTGCCCAATGAAACAGTCTAGGGACTATTTTCATAGTATCATCACCACCTAATGTTCTGAGTGATAAGAAGGAAAAAAACCCACCCTATTTTCTGACCTTTCAGGTTCTAGCCCAGGACAAAAAAAAACAAGTACAGATATCATAATTTATATTAGAAAGTCCAGTGGACCAAATTCTGAATGACTAATAGTTTTTATATCTACATACTGAGCTTATAACTACATACTTTCTTGAGAGGAACCTAAATAAATAATAAAACATAGAAATCGCCCATTAACATTGTCTTAGAAACCAAGTTTTCAGTTTTCTCTCATTCAGATTGGTCTTTAACTGAAAATTATTAATAGGAAAAAGGAAAAGCATAATAGAATTATTATTTTTTTCCTTTAAGAAGCTGGATGCTCTGAGCTGTATAAATTACCATCACAGTCTCTTTGTGTAAAATAGGATTAGCTGAAAAAGACAAAGTGCAGCCAATGTTCCAAATCTGTAGATTATTTGTTACTAATTGTCAATTTGGGAAGTTCAATTTTTGACTTGGGCGAGTTCTGCTCTACCACACCCAGTACTTCCAAATCCTGCTGAATTATTTTAATGAACATCTCGATTAATTCCTGGGAGAGTGAGGTGACTGTGAGAAATTAAAAGTTTCTGTGTCAACAGGCAATAATCTTGCTGTGATCTAAAATAATGAGAGTTGGTTACTGACTTCCATGGCAGTGGGATAACCCAATGTCCATATATTCTGTAGGTAGGCTCCAGCTCTGCAAACAGACTCTCCTTTCCTGCACCCCAGTACTGTCATGGGTAATTTCTTGTTAGAGAACCAACATTTATTGGGACACTAGCTGTCTTGTCATTCAGATGGATTGCTAAAAGTTTTTGCTGGTTTTAATTTTAATTGTTCTGTTGAAGTGTTTCAGGTTGAGATGTAGGTTGGTCCCTCAGGGCATGATCTTATGTATCCATAAGAAATCAAGTGAATGAAACAGGTTTTGAATCAAAGGTTTCTACAGATTTTCCTGGAAGAGATGATCTCATTTAATGGGGAGAAGAGAGTGCACTGAGCCTAAAAGAAAAGGTTGCTACCTCAGGGATGTGATCAAGTAAGCTGTGGTTACCTTCAACATGGAAAAGGTAAAATGCAAGGTACAAAAGTTGGGTGCTACAGTGCTTGTTATTTTCTCTGGAATGGATGGTCAACTCTGACTTTGTAATTAGTTACCTAAATGACCTACATGTCTAATAGGGTATCTAGCAGAAATGGTCTGGCTTTGTGGAGCTTTTTTCCCCTGATAATTTCCCAAACTCCTGGATTTAAATTCAGGATGAAACCACCAGCCCCGTAAAACAAACAAAACCTCCAAAGCAAATAGGAATTTTCTATCTTTCTTCTTTCCTAAACATAAATCAGGATGCAATATGATCTCCCTTTCAAAATACAAGTGCTGGCTGATGATTTGTCTCTTTGAACAAGCTGCTTCGTACTCCTGGTGCACTGCAGTCTAAGTTTTCAGATTTGCCAGTTAATGAATGGCACAATAGCAAATAAAATAACAAATGCCCTCTTAGTTGGTTCCATTTATTGGATTCTTTTACTATTTCTCTATCTGAAGAAAACCATCCCACTCCAAGATTCCTAATAAGGAAACCTGTGAGCATTTTACAGCTTGTTGGCCATGATTCCCTATTTGCCTCTGTCCAAGAAACAGTGAGCTTTGAATTGGCAGTGTAGTGTTTTTACTACCACTTCTTCTGCAGCAATTTCTTCTCTCAACTCTTCTAAGTTAGGTTGAGAGGTCTATTTCACACTAAAAGTGGAAAAAGTTGTTTCTTTGTTAACTCTGGTGACGGGATTCAGTGTTTGTTGCTCTTACCCAGAGCCTTCCATCTGCTTCTGTTGAGGCCAATATCAACATTCTCTGGTGGTATCAGTTACATCACATGCAGCGCTGCCGTGACTGAACACCCAGAGATATAAAAAGGGCTCATTCTTCTCTGGTGTGGTTTAAATCCTACTGACTTCGGGAACTTCTCTGCACTTCTCAGGATTGCGCCTGCAATTTAGCAAGAAAAAAAAAAATCTTTAAAAGATCATGTGAAACCCTGTTTACTGAGAGGCAATAGTTTATTTTATAGCAAAGCAACATTCATTGATCTAGTTGGAATTAACAGTTTTCATTTTGTCATCACTTTTTAAAGAAAAACCACTTTGACTTTCAGAAAAAAAAAAATACAAAAATAATATTTTGCTACCTTCCAAACATTAGCTTTGGTTTACTTTTGGAAGATAATGTGGTTGGTATGTTTTTTCAGGATAGCCTCTATCTATTTCTGTGTGTTGGTTTTAAATGTATCTGAATTAAAAGGGGTTTTAATCTCTGTCTCTTCTGTGAAATTAGATTGTACAAAACTAAATATGACTGCTCTTCATAGTTTGCTGTTCTAGCATAGCCATAAAATGTATCAATGTATGTGTATATATGAATAAATATTTGATGACAGACACTTTAGATTATATATTTAAGCAGCCATGTCAAAACTTCAGAGGTAGATGGCTTCAAAAGCAATGGTATAATCATAATACTTGCAAATTATTTTACAAAATCAAACCATGGCCTCAGCGCAGATCTCATATCCTTACCAGTAGTCTGAAACCCACCTTTTCTTTAAAGACCCCTGCTAAGGTTTGTTTTGCCATTGCTTCTTTAACCAAGACGTATCTGAATAATGACAACTGCCCGTGGCTCAGTCTGCAGCACTCATCTCCCGGCAGAGCCGCCCTGGTGCTGCAGGACCAGCGGCTCTGGGCTCTGCCTCCATCGGTCTGAGCCGTGCGGCTCTGGAGCCGCTGCTCCTGGGGGATGGACACTGCACAGCCAGTGTCAGTGCTTCCCCCTGGGACTGCCTCACTCCCCAAAATTCCTTTTCTTCACCTCATACATCTCCCACACAATTCCCACTGCATTTTCTTTTTGCCTGTTTATAATGGTACTGTAGGAATATCCGTGGAATAAAAAGCTTACCCTACTGATTTGCAGTCCCAAGGGGAATTTACATTAGACGTGAAGTTGTTATTATTTACTGAAAAGTGGCGTTATCTTCTTTTCTTTATTATTATGATTCTATTCCTATGATACTATGATGTTTCATGTAAATTTTCATGTGCTGGCATGCCTACAAGTTAATAGTGTAATAGAATGCTCAGCTCTCAACATTAGAGTGTTTTTAAGGTGAATTGCATCACATATGCCATCTCTTTGCAGAAAGAATATGGGGTTTGGCAAAACTACCTGCTGAGCAACATAATGAGATTTTTGTACAAAGTACAAGTTATTGATTATTATTGTATTTTATTTTTCTATGATTTCCTAAGAGGCATTATCAGGTCTTACAGATGGGGTAAGCCTGTTTATTAAGATATTTATTAGCAAATAAAAGTTACAGTACTGGTGGTTATTTTTGAGTTAATGGTGTTTGTTTGGCCTAAAGTTTCTAATATAATGATCCACGGTGAAGCCATACATGATCGTGCAAAAAAAAAAAACAAAACAAAAAACCCAGCTGCTTAACACAGGGTGGTATACTAATACTTGAGATGCTTCGGGGTGGTGTTGTTTTTTCAGCTAAAAGATGCTCTTCTGTGCTTACCACTGAGCATTCACACTTAAAAAGCATATACAGTTCACAGCATCAGGGAAAAAAAACTGTACACATTAAAAGCTGCAAACAGCCGTGCTCTCTCCTTCTTGGGAAACACTGTGAATCTGAATTTTAAATGGCTTTTAATGTGCTATTAAGATTCTACAGTACTGTTCACCCTCCTCATGGTGATTCACTGAGCCATGCAACTCCTCTAGTATTTGTCAAAGCTTTCACTGACAAAAGCAGTTTTAAAACTGATCTTATTATGTAAATAATGCCAGGGCAACACACAACGATTCACAGAGAAGTGAATGCCATATACAATAACCATACCCCACCTCAAAAAGCTTAAAGTTATAATGAGCCTTTCATTGCATAAAATCACATGCAGGCAATGCAAGATTGAACAGAAGTACTGTAAAGTAATAGGAAATGAGTGTCAGATGCCCACAGTCCATTACATCCTCTTTATTTTACATGGGAAGAGCTTTCTCACTGAGGACTGTCAGGTTTAACACAGTGTACAATGAAGAATGTACAATGAAGTGTATAATGAAGAATGAATGTTTCATTTTAGATCCGATTACAGAAATGCCTTTGCCGTTCTGTGTTCTGCACTGAATTCAGAACGACTCCTCAGATACGGACTGATTTCAAATAGAAAAACCCTCCTCTACCATCTATACCTCACAACTTGATTAGCGTTTGGGAAGTGCTTCATCACAGAGTTTCACTGTGGGGTTAATGCTACCTGCCTTTTCCCGTAGTAGCTTATAATGCCACTACAAGGGAATCTTATTTTAGTCGGAACCTTCCTGATATAGGAAATGCAGCAGACATTGAACCAATCTGACGGGAACTATGCTATGCAGGGAAAAAAAAAAACAAAAAACAAGAAAAAAAAAAAACCGTAAAAAAAAAAGTTAATAAATAAATAAATTAAAAAATAAATCCGAAGTGTATTTGCAGCCCTTGCAGGCCTGGCCAGGCTGCCTTCCTCCCAAAGCCCTGCTGCTGCCGCTGCCCCAGTGACGCGCGCACTTGAGATTTGCCAGACCCGGCCAAAGCGCCCGCTTGGGAACGGGCGGTGCTGTCAACGCCTCGGGTGGGCGTTCTTACTCAGGGGTTTCCTTCCGCGTTCATGGCAATCCTCAAGAGGATTTATCCGGGCACTCTCATTGCTGCTATGCCAGGAACAGGGGCAGTGCTTACAAACAAACCCTCCAGAGGCGCGGGACACTGAGAGCGAAGGGAATCCCCCTCAGCCCTGCCCGGCCCCCTCAGCCCCACCGCACCGGGGGCGTGGCCTCGGGCGGGCCCCGCCCCAACGCCCTTGCGCTATTGGCCGGAAGAGGTGGGGCGGCGGGCCGGGAATGGTGGAGCGGGGAGAGGGCGGGGCTTCGGTTCCCTCGGCAACGGCGGCGGCGGCGCGGGCCCGGCCGGCGCCTCCCGGCCCAGGTCGGTGCTGCGGCCGCGGGGACGCGGGAACGCGCCCGGGGAGGGGGCACCGGGGCCGGGCTTCCCTGGGGATCCTGTGCCGCTCCTGGACAGGAGCCCCTGGACCCGCGGGCGCTGCCGGGGCGGCTCGAGGCGTTGTGGTGCTGACGGGAGGAGGGAAGGCCGGCCCTGGGAGCTGCGATCCCCCGCGCCCAGGCGCTGTCCCGAATTAGGGGATACCCTAATTCCTTGCACCCAGTGTGCCTGAGGCCGAGCCGCGCACAGAGCCGAGGTATTTGATTTATTTCTGGTTCTGCTCAGAAAGGGGCGCTAGGCGGCAAATCCACCGAGCCAGCACGGCCACTACCAAAGCTTTTCAATGTTTATACATTTTAGCCAACAAAGGCATTAATGTTCACTGACTGCAAGTCACCTGGTTCCCTTATCAGTTAGTATGCTCTCTTCTGTTGGCTAATTATTCTCTCGTTTCCCATGCTAATTAGTCCACATGCTCAGTCTTTCCCTTCTTCTGGGTCTTCGACCATTGAAATATATCCAGCCCTGAAACTAAACAAGGCAGTTCTACCGAAATAATTCGTGTTTCTAACACCTGGACATCACTTAGAGCTTGTTTGTTGGTTGTTCTCTATTTCATGGATTAAATCTCCTCCGTTGTTGATTAGGCTTGAAAATGGACAAAGATCAGAGATGAACGAACATCCTTTTTAAGAAAAAAGCTTAGAGAGTTTGCTGTTAAGCTCCTGGACCAGACTCTGGCTTAAATAATTTTCTGAGATTCTGATGTATGATGTATGCCCTGTAGGCAAAATACCAGCTGGCAAAAAAAAAAGGGGGGGAAAAGGCACCTGTGTTAGCTGTAACTGCTGTAACTCTTCACAGATGAGAAAAAAAACAGGAAAATAGGGGCAGGGCAAGAAGTCAAGGGTACATTTCTTTCCCACTGTGTTCTTAGATAATGACTGTGCCAACTGGTAGGAAATTTTGCTAGAAAAACATGGCTCCCATTAAAATGTTGCTAGCAACTGTTGTGTATTTAGGGTTTTAGATTTAAAAGTGAAGCCCTAGAAGTTTTTAAGGCCTTGCATTTCCTCTTGTTTCATTTTAGGAGTGCCTACAATACATTTTTTGGACCTTCTATATTGTATTTTTTTGGCCCTCTATTTTTTTGATCATCTAGAATATATAGATGAAGCTCTTGATTGGGTAAGAAAGTAATGTCATGGAGCAGGGTTTTGTCAGATTAATTTCATAATAAACAGCTTTAATCTGCTCTGATTTATATATATGGATTAGAAAAGGAGTGAGGCATAAAACAAAGGGAGTTAGAATGAGAGACTTGCTATAACTAATGTTAGGTTTTATTAACCTGGTAATAATTCTGTATAGCTGTAATGTAGATTATGACCAGTCCCGAATCAAAGTGCACCAGAGAAAGCTCTATGAAAGATTTGTATTTTAAAAGGAAAAAATCATCCTTTAGCCAGAATGGTTACTTGTGTGACTTTATTAAATGCAATGTTCAAAATTATTAAAAAAACAGTTAACCATCATTTTGTAATCAGTTAGTAAAGAAGTGTGATCAAAAATTTGTTATTGACGTTTTTTTTTTACCTTTTCCCCTTCCTGCTATGATTTCGTCAACTTGCCTCAGAGTTGTCCAGTGCTGTTTGTTTTTAATTTATTAAGAAAAAAAGTAGCCTTCACCACTCCAGAAATTCTCTGACATGAATTAAATACTTTGTTATTCAAGGCATCTCAAAGGTTTCGGTTGTCTGATTGCTGAAATTATTTCTAGTGGAATTCATTCATGGCATTCGTTCTTTGCAGTGTGCATTTAGCCAGGTATTGCAGGGAAACACATGATGTAAGCTCCTTTGAATGTGGCACTGCCAGGTAACTTCAGCCAGAGTCTGGGCAGCAGCAGAGGGTTTGGTATCTCTCTGACGTGTGGGTGAATGTTTTGGTGTCTGTTAGATCTATTTTAATCAGTTTCCATTTGTGGTGAATGAAGAGTTCCTAATTTATACACACCAATATTGGCAAAACCTGTTAGAATTAGGGTTTGAATTGAATTAAAAGAGAGTGCTTTATTTAATGCAGGCCTCAGTAAATTATGTAGCAGGTGCTGAAGAAGGGAAATATAGTTTTGCCATCTGAAAGGTGTACTGCTGACAATTTGAAGTAAAGATAATGACCCTCCTTTTGGTTTTGCTCAGTTTGGTGGGAGCCCTGGTGGCACTGCTTTGTGCCCCTGTTTGGGCTGCTCAGAACATTTTCTGCCCAGTGAATCAAGGGCATCGTGTGATATAGACAGGGCTATAAACAGCCAGTCTACTTTGGTATCCTGGCTGTAATCAGCTTACCCTCCATGTGCTTATGTGCAGAGCAGCCCCTGGCACCGTGTTTGTGTAGGGTCCTGCTCACACCATCGCTCCCAGGTGTGAGGCTGCTCAGCCCCATGCCCACCCTCAGTGCCAGCGCTGCCCTGCATGTAGCGCTTTTCCAAAAGCTCTGATTCTCTGAACAGCAGGTGATCCCTGGGATTTCCAGCCACAGCCATGGGATTGTTTGACAAGCTGGCAGGATGGCTTGGGCTGAAGAAAAAGGAGGTTCACGTCTTGTGCCTTGGCCTGGACAACAGCGGCAAAACAACGATCATCAATAAACTTAAACCTTCCAATGTAAGTGGAACCTTGGTTCGCTGTGGGTGTGTGTTTGATCTGGGTTTGCATGCTGTTACAAAGGATGTGCCCATGGAAAAGATGTGGAGAGCTTGTGATTTAGCACAGAGGAACAAATATATTTTAAGATTTTCCAGCTAACTAAAACTAAGGGTAAGCATTCACACGCACATTATTTTCCAAAAAAAACCTGCTGTTAACATGGTACACTTTTGTTAAGATCATCCAACAAGGAGGGGTTTATGATGGCTGAAATCAGGATCTGAAACTGTCACTTTAATCACTTAAGTAATTGTCACAAGATTGCAGTTACAAGTGATATTGAACATTTAGGATTAATACAATTGTACAACTTATTACGTTTATTTTAATCTCTTCTTGAAAAATAACATATGAATAAGAGATAACAAAATAAGAAATAAAAAGATGCACATTTAAAAGTGACTTCACTATTTTTAAAGCAAAATAATTTTCAAAATAAGTACCATTAATACTTGCAGTTCATTCATCCAGTGAAAACTGTTTGAGGCCACTAGGAGTGCCTAATATTCTGAAAGTAGGATCCTTATTTCAAGATGTGTTTATAGACTAGAAATAGATTAATTTGGATAGGCATGTTCAAAGCCAAAGGTTGTGCATCTTGGTTATTTGCATCTGGGAAACTGATTTCTGCTGTTTATATCAGGACGCAGCCTTTTATTTTTATTATTATTAATTTTCATTTAATTTTACCTGGTAAGTCCACTGTACATTGTTTAAAAAGTGTGACATAGTGAAGAGTCTGCTACTCTTCCCTTCCAGGCAATTATTCTTCCACTGAAAATTGAGTAGATTTATAAACAGACTGTAAACTCCTTGTATCCGCTGCCAGTTGTTTGGGAGAAAGGCTACACTGTGTACCAGGCAAATTGTACTTTATGTAATTACTGAGACCTTTTTTGTAGAGGGTTTTTATGTCGTGCCTTAAGCAGTAAAGGAACTCAGACTTGAAGATTTATCACAATAATGGGCGTTAGAAAAGCTCTCCGTGGAATTACACTAATAGAATAAATAGAATTTGTCTGTAACGAGAATTTAATAGAAGGAAACTTTGCATCCAACTTGTGTAAGTCCTACCTTTGCCAGACATGCCAAATAGTCTAGCATGCAACAAATGTCATTAGATCAAAGTTAATAAAACTGTTTATTTTTAGTAAGTTCAATGGACAGGTGATTTTGAGCTGTGGATCAACCCAGTCTTCTTAAGAACTGCTGCTTTTACCCCAGGAACAATATACTGGGACCTGGCAAATCCAGATGTTTCTCCATCTCTCTGCAGCTGTTTCTTCTGGACCTGCCTATGGATAGTGTTTGGAATAAGGGGCTCTAGGAGTCTGTGCAAGGATTGCATGTCACTTTCTCAGACAGCTCTGTAATCTATGGGATGTGATCTTTCCTCCTGCTCAATGCTGATGCTTCTTAGAGGAGCTATTCTTTTCCACCAACTTAGCTGAGAGGTTCCTTGACCAGCTCAGTAGTAAATCAGTTATCAGACAGATCTCTTAATAATGCTCTGTGTTTTGGCAATTCCAGTAGTGTTTATTCCCCAGAAAATACAAAACCCTTGATTCTGAATTACTTTAGTTTTATGGGAACTTTTTTAATATTGTATCGTTTGGGGCAAAAATAGATCTAAAATATATTCATGTTTCAAATATATTTCAGTATTTGCATTTTCTAATTTAATTGTAAAATTTGTGCTTTCTTTCCTTCAAAGGCTCAAACTCAGGACATCGTTCCAACAATAGGATTCAGTATAGAGAAATTCAAAACTTCAAGGTAGTACTTTCTTTCTTCAATAGCAGTAGTGATTTTTATACAGTAGTTGCACTTAATTATCTCTTTCAGTGTGTTTGTAACGTGTGGTGGTGTAATTGACATCACATTGCAGTTTGTTGAAATGTAGCATCCATGAGACCTAATCATGATCCAGGAATGAGTGTGTTAGAATATAATGTGTGTTTTGTGCTGCTATAAAGCTATCAAAATTTTAAAAAAAAATTAGGTTGGTTTTTTTTTTTTTTTTCCAGTAGCATGTATAAACATCTCACTGTCTTTTGAGAGTTTCAGAATAGGGCACTGTTACAGACTGGAGGAGAGACAGCTGCTGAGGTGGCAGCTTAAATTCCATTCTCAATCTGGTAACCTATATTAAGCACTCTCACTGGAGGTACTCTGAACAGATTGCAGTGTAATCTCATTAAATGCAAAAGGATGGCTACAACATTAGCAATGTAAAGGTGGCAGGAGCAAAGGCCAGGAAACAGAGCAATAAGTCATTAGTTGAATGAAGACTAAGATTTAGATTAAGAATGTCATGACACAAGGATATTTCAAGGAGGCAGCATCATTTTATTATTTTGTGGCCTTCACTGGATGTTTTTGGTGCATGCAGTTAGTCTTCAAACCAAGCAGTATAGCCTCACTGGGTGGAAGATGTGCAAGAAAATTGTTTGTTCCTTGAGCTGAGAAAATTGTTTATTCCTTTAGCTGATACATTATACTGAGAGGTTTCATATTTCTCTAAGAGCTTCCACAGCTGAGCTCTGTCCCAATAAAGTACATCAGACAAGTTTGGGACTTCCCGTTTGAGAACGTAAATTAATTTATATTGTGGGGTTTTTTTATTCTGATCCTGTAGTAGGAGAGGTGATGACCTGTAAATACAGCATGTAGAATGTTAAAAAAAAAAAAGCCCACCCCAAAACTTCAAACTCTACAAACTAATAAACCCACAACTCTGTGTCTGGACATAGAGTGGGAAGGATGTCTGGAGAGCTTCCTTTTCCTAACATCCTTGTTTTGGTGGCCTCCACCTGGGGAGCTGCTTGGGGCTACCCAGAAACGGAGAGCCTAGTTCTGAACTTGATGTTGCCCCTGTAAACATTTTAGGAGCAGATGAGACCTTTTTGTAGTGTTCAGTAAGTTGCCTTGCTGTATGTAGTGTTAGGGTGAACTCACAGTGGCAAAGACTGCTCTTTGTAGCTTGGCCATCTGAACTCACCTGTTTTTACCAAAATGTACTTTTTTTTTTTTTTTCCCTAAAGGTGGAATTTATTTTTTTAAAAAGCCTTTTATTTTGCCCACATTTATACCTATGTGGGGACAGTATTTAAGACAGGCCATGGACTTTAAGTTGTGGTTCATCTGAATTTCACTTATACATAAACAGTATTTTATACCAGCATGATATAGAGAGAGACTGATTGGGAACTTATTTTGCATTTGATGTAAGTTAAAATAATTGGTTTACTTCTTTTATTCAGGCAGTAAACACGTTCTCCATTGTGAAATATTTCTATAATAAAACTGAAAAACTGAGTGGGATAATTTGAAGTCAGTGCAACCAGAGTTCCTTTGGGAATTTTTCTCAGTTGAGATTCAAATTGATCTGGCCTTTTTTTTTTTTTTTTTTTTTTTTTTTTTGCCAGAGTAGCAAAGAAAATTGATGTGGTTTGGGTTTTGTTCTTTTTTCTGGGTCTCATGCACTTCTTTTCTTTGCAGTTTGTCTTTCACAGTGTTTGATATGTCAGGTCAAGGGAAATACAGAGACCTCTGGGAACACTACTACAAGTAAGCCTAATTTATTTTAAAGCATTGCTGTTCATATTAACTGTTGTGTAGGTTATTTAAATAGAAAATTGATAATATCTAGTGGTTAGAAACGATTCTGAGAAGGCTTATACCTTGTGTTTGACAGAAGTTTCGCTCTGGATAAATAAAACTTTCTATTCTAACACATGATAATTTTTATCTGGTATTACTCTGTGCTTTCAGGGACATCTTTGGGTAACATAATAGAGATGAGATTTAAATATCGAAACCTGAAAACCAATCCTGTAAGAAAGCTCAAGATGAGTTAGGTTTCCAGCATTTCAGTTCTTCTGTAGGTCAACTGCTTAAAATCTGCAAGATACTGGCTGATGGCTGAGATTTTTAGAGGTGAGGGAAATTAACCTCAGAGCATAAGGCACGTGTAACTAGGTGCCTGAATGAACATTCTTAATGTCTTTATTAAACAGGATTTTCTCTGCATTTTATAACACTCTGGTATTGCCTTTTGGTAATAGATGGACACCATTCTCTGGTTTTGGAGCTTTTAGCGAAGCTTAATGTTTATTTACATTGTCTCATTGCTATTCTGTAATGCCTGATCCTGATCTAAGTAACATGAACAATACTAGACCATGCAGAAATATCTTGGAAAAATAGAAGGGAGAAATTCTGAAGATTATAATATTGATTAAATATTAGTATCAGTTGTGGTAGAGCTTAATTTTTTTTTTAATTGAGGATTAATGCTTTCTCTTCTTCCTTTGCAAATTGTGTTAGCATTGAAAACATTTGGCCAGGGGATCTTCATTGTTCAAGTGTTAGATTTGCACTTCAGTAACTGATGCCCTCAGGCTGCTCTCAAAATTCTCGCAGAGTGCTTCATAAGCAAATAATTTTTGTGATTGCTGTATTTAATGTAGTAACTTATCCCTTGTGGGGCACAAATGGCTTTTTCATCTTAACAATAACTCCCTAACAGTAAGGGAGTTTTTTAGGTTATGCTGACAGTGAAATATGCACTTTTATCCACCTCTGGTCCTGATCCAGTGTAGTAGGCACATATTTAAGTTTAACTTCTAAGAATAATATTAAAACAATAATTTCTATTAATTAAATAAAAATATCAATTAAATAATTATGTGTTGTTCAGTTTATAAAGTTAAGCAATATTTAATTCTGCAGCAAATTAAATCTGGGCAAGTGTCAAAGTAGTTGCCTTGGAGTCCTTCAAGTCTGGACTTTTCTTCTGTTTAGCTTGAAAGTATCTTCTAAGTCATCCTCTACGTACATTTATCTTAAATAATCCCAAAGTCATATTGTGTCCATATCCCTGTTACTTCTTTGTGAACTTATTTTTTTGGTGGTAAATACATGCCAATACTCCTGATTCCTCTGGTAAAATTCTCACTGCTCAGGAAAATTGCTTAGGCATTTTCAGCTAATATGCAAAAGCTTTATTTACTAAGGGTTAAAGTAAGAATGGGCCTATCTCATACAGTCTTGGGCTGCTTAGGTTATTTCTGGTTTCCAGCAGGTACAGAACTGTTTCTTTTCAAAATACAAAGATAGATGGTGCTGGAGGGTAAAGAATGTATTCATAATGGTGCCTCAGAGAAATGTGAAATGAAGTAGAAGTGAACATTACATTAAAATATAAAATAAATATACATTCTGTAGGTATTTACAACAGGTGAATTATGAATTGGTGAGATTTTATTTGGTTTTCAAAACAAGTTTCAATAAATGGAACATCAAGTCAAAATATTAGTAAACATCCTGACATAATGAGTTGAGTAGCTGCATTTATGTTGCAACTATGGTCACACTACCAACAAAATGTCCTCATGATTTGAAATAGTTGAACGTTTTTCCCTGTTACTTGGGAAAAAAAAAATCCTGTTTATGCAGGATATGTAAAGGTTAAAATAACCGGCATATGCCTGGCTGTGGACACAGGTTTTGTCTAAAAGGGTATTTGACCTTTCTCTAAATAAACTTTAGTACAGGAAATACAGAATTTCTATAAAGATCTGCCTTTATGGGGTTTTTTTCCTGCCTGACCACAATGTCAAAATAGCAGTTGGTTACATTTTGAGTTCATCTTTCAGTCTGGGTAGTAAAACCAAGCTTTTCTAGAACGTGTGTGGAGACTGAACCTTGTAGGGGCAGGCAACAACCTCATGTCTAAACAAATGATGCATGTCACCAAAAAAATTGAATTTCAGAAATCAGACTGGATTCAAATGTTAATCGTAAATAACAATGACAAAAATTAGAGAAAAAATCAGGTTTGTTTGGACTTTTTTCTTGGTGTTTCTTCTGAAGCCTTTTCTTATTCACAGAATACTCATTTCTTTGAGAACCTATAATTTGCCTCTTTGCTCTTTTTATGTTATGCAGAGAAGGCCAAGCCATTATTTTTGTCATTGATAGCAGTGACAAATTAAGAATGGTTGTGGCCAAAGAAGAACTTGACACCCTTCTGAATCATCCAGGTGAGGAGGCTTTTTTCCCCTTCTGTGTCCATATCTGTTATGTTGCCTTAAGAAAAGCCCTTATCTGACACATTCTTAATACTTTGCAAGTAGTTTAACCTTTCATTAATATTAGCACAAAAATAGTCTTCAAAAACGTGTTGGGGTTTTTTTTACCTATTCACATTTAGAAATTGGTCACACTTCAGCTTTCGACACTGAGTTGGGTTGGTGTCTTATTAATCAATATAGATCAAAAGTTACATTGTTTTAAGAAAGAATTGACTTTGAGTTGGAAGCTGGAGAAGCTTCTTGTGATGACCAGGACAGACAAAACGGTGTCTCCCTGTCTGTTTTTTCCATGAAGACAGATAATTCCTTTAATGTAACAGATAACTTTCTTTTGTCATCTTCATTATAATTTTTATGCTTTAGCCAGAAATACGGAGTGATAATTATATCAGTCAGTTTAAATTCCCTAGGAAGAGGATATGAGAGGATTTGTGATCAGGGTCTTGGTTTTAGGGGTTTGGCTTGGATTTTTTTTTACATGAGGCTGCACTTTAATTAAGTTCTGATACCAGTCAACTCTTTGCCTTTCCATATATCCAGCATTACTGGAGTGTGTCTGTAAGCAATATACAATTTTGACTTTGAGCACTCTTGGTAGTTGCTCTGCCTAACCAGAATAGTAAACGACATCTAGGAAGTTTAAAAGTGAAATAATCCTGTGATTCCTTAATTATTTATTCAACTGATATGGTCTTAACTTGTGAGATTCTCATACTGAAAATAAAAGGAAAAGCTGAGTTGCATTTCTAAGAAAAATAAATGTGTGATAGGGACAAATATATCCCCATAGCTTTATTTTCCATGAAGATTATATGTAACACTTTAATTCATCAACAAAGATGCTGGAGCTGACTGGACCTTCTTATTCTCATGTTCTAATTTCTCAATTCAAGGGTATGGGCTACTTCAAATGCAGACCCTGAAAAGACAGTGTTAAAAAAGTCACAGGGAGGATGAGGTGAGCCAAAGGCTGCAGGTGGATTACACAGGGGCCAGGGCACTGTGTACCAAGTCAGGAATTAACTCCAGCAGTAAAACCCAATTCTGTTAGTAAAGTGGAAGCACACACGGTCAAGGCTGAGAGCTAAAGCTGCTGGAAGAAGTTACTGGTTTAACAGAGGGCAGAAGAATAAAAATGTTTAGACAGAGTAGGAGCAGCCTTCGGTGGGGCTTTTCATTTGGGCATTAACAGGTCACTAAAGCTGACCTAGCAGGTCAGTGCTGTTCAGTTGTTCATGAATTTGTGTCTTCAAGTTCAAAAGACCAGGCTCTGGCCACAGGGTGCAGTCCTGAGAACCAGGAGACAGCAGTTGTGGATTTCTGCCTCGGAGCGGCTTAGCTCCAACACAGCAACAGTGTCACTGATTTATCAGTTTTGATATATCAAAGAGCTTAAAAAGTTCTTCTAGGATAATGTTCAATAAAAGTAGCTGTTAGGTGAATCAATATACAACTGGTTTGCTATATCAGTACTTTTATTTGTATTAGTGTTCTGCCCTTCTTGCTGCATACCCTTCTTTCTCCCAGTCTATGCTTCTGTCAGTGTCATCCTCCTGGAGTGGTTTAAATGTATGTATTTACCCAAGTTTTACATGGAATTGAATAAGTTCATGTCTCTGAAAATCTTAGCAATCCCGCAGTAAAACGGTTCCCTGTCTTTTTGCCAGGCTTTGCCTGAGGGAAAAGAAAGGGAATGCATCTTGTGAAGCATTAATGGGGTTAAAAGTTGTACTAGCTGTGACTCTTGTGTGAATCAGAGCTGTAAATTATTTTTACCTACATTAATGGACAATGCATTCTTCAAATCACATCTTATATAACGATAACTGTATCATATTTTGGTTTTTTACTGAAATTTCATTCTTCAGCACTTTGAAAAATCGTAGCCATAGATTACCTGGATTAGATTATGACTCTTGGGTCACTTCACCTCCAGCACATGCTTCTAAATTAAACTAAAATTCTTGTGAATTTCAAATTATTTGTTTATAACTGCACATCACACATCTAGTATCTGGAATATTTTAAAATGTATTAGTTCATAACTACTTGCAGCTAAAAAATGTTTGCTTTCCATTAGTAACTGTGAAAAGTGTGGGAGGGAAATACTGCACATGAGGAAATAATATAAATTTCTGTGACCATGACTTTATCTAGGAAATATCTTTGCGTATGCATTATGAGTCCGGGTGGGTAGGTTGTGCCCCTTTCTAATTGTTTAGGAAAACACTGGAAATTCCTTTATTAACTTGGCTTTTTTGCATATATGATGTCAGCTAATTTATGTGATTTTAATTTACCCATAACCTGCAACCTGTGGGTACCAGCGTTCATTTAATTATACTGTAAATTACTGTAAGAATTTCAGTCAGGAGACTCAATAGCTGTTCAACTATGGAATCAAAACAGAGATTTAATTATACTGGTCTTGTATTTTGAGGCCTTTGATCTGTGTTTATGGGTATCAGAGGACAAAAGAGCTCCAGGAAGGGTAAATAGTTAGTGAAAATTGTCTGTGTTTTGATCAGCACTTACCATCTCTGAATGAATATGGGGAAGTAGTGTTTTCTCCACTGATTCTGTGGAAAGGTTTAGTAGGAAGGCAGAAAAGAGCATAATTGGGGAAGTTCAAGCCATTTCAGCACTGACTGTTGGGATTCTGGGAGGTTTTATCATCCTGCCCATCAGCAGGGGCGGATGGTTTATGTTTGACATTTCAAAATGAATCTTTACCTAGTTTCCTGTGTGACATAACCTTTTCTTTTTACTATTTTAAAAAGATCCTGTGTAGCAATTTTCATTGAGGTGGTAATATGTAAGTTCTTTTCCCATCAAGCACTGATGGATAGACTAAAACCTAGATTTTCTCTAATCCTGGATATCATTCTTTGTATAAATAATATGAAAACTTTGGCGCTGGTAATTTTTTTGGCATCTGTAACTTTGAAGAAGTATGTTTTCTTTCCTTTCAATCACCATATAGTCTTTTGGGGTAATCTGTGAGGTTTAAACTTGTCTAAGGGTCAGTATCCCAGAAACTGCCAGAGTCTTTGCTTGATTTGTAGTTCTCACAGCTAGCTGAAAGAGCTCCTGGAGAAGAAGTCCTTCTAGGGAAGGGAGAATAAAGGATGTCCACATGTGCATTTTTTTTCCCCAATTGTATAAATTCTATGAAGTAATGGATGCTTTCCAGGACACTAAAGGATAGTTCAGACTACCCTTCTGAACTATTGTTGTGATGTTATGAATGAACATAAATTATTTTTTCCATCCATTTTATACATCCAGTCCTCAGTAAGCAGAGATGTGCAGTGTTTGTAGGCAGTGGTTTGATCTCTTGTTCTTCAGCTTCACCAGCAATTCCTATCTCCAGCTTGAAGTGTGGGTATAAGGTAGGGGGAGAGGGGGGTGGAAAGTTCCAAAGCCTGCAAGGAAGTTTGTGAGCATTTTGGAAGCATGCAGCAGAGGCCAGGTGACCCAACAGTATGTGCATCTTGGTAGGATACAACCTTCAGAGAATTGCAGCTACAGGTGAGCAAAAGACCTCCCTGTGTTGTTTGTACCTTGTTACATGCAGAGATTAATGAGTGTTGCCTCATGTCCTGAGCTCTGTCTCTGCTCATGCCTAGACATTAAGCACCGTCGGCTGCCTATTCTCTTCTTTGCTAACAAGATGGACCTCAGGGATGCAGTGTCATCTGTGAAAGTGTCTCAGTTGCTGTCCTTAGAAAACATCAAAGACAAGCCCTGGCATATCTGGTAAAGTTCTCTTTTTCTGTCCTTTTATTGGCATTACTTTGTGCATTCCTATTTTAGCCCTATCGTGCCACTTACTACAGTACAAAATAAATGGAGTAGATAAAAGACAGATTCCACATGTGAAACAGTAAATTTAAACCAGTAATATTAAAATACTTATGGTAAAACTTATTCTAAATGTACAATGCATTCATTTAGACTGTGTCTTTAAAGTTTTCACAGCGGTACTGTTAGCCAAGTAATGGAATGGAGGATTTCCAGTGAAATCAAAAAGCAGGGTTGATATGAGACAAACAGTTGACATTACATTTTACTGGGAAATTTAGTAGAATTGTTATCAGAGTGCTCCTGCTAGATTACCTTGCAGGTTTGAGAATATAAATAATAAAACCTTTGGAGTTTTGTTTTTTTTTTCACTCAGCAGGTGCTTCAGTAAACTGTTGTTGAAAGGCCATTTAGTCATGTTTGAGGGGATTTTTAGTTGTAGGAGCTAGTCTTTTGTTCTGAATAATGTAAGCTTTACTTAGTGCTGGTGTTCACAAGTCAAAAATCCTCCTTTTACCAGAACTGCTTTATAGAAGTTAGTTTTTTGTCCTATTAAAGTCCTCAGCTGTTATAAATAAAAGTGAAATCAGAAGCTAAATGCTGCTGAAAGCTATAATTTTTATTTTAAGCACTTTAATGTTAAACTTGATTACCTGGACATTGTTTTTGTTCAGAAATCACACTCAGGAATTCCTGAGCTTCTTGGAAGATCATTTTATATGGAACTACATTTATAGTCCAGATTCATGGCTGTGCGGGTTTTCATAAATTGAAGAATGAAGAGCATTTAAACAGTTATCCCTCGGTGATTCAGAAGGTGAATTTACACTGCTCTCAGTGTGACAGAATAGTTCTATACATTAACAGACACTTCTGGGATTGCTGTTACAATGAAGTGTGTACACACACATAATTCCTTCTTCCAGTACTCCAGCATTCTCACTGTGTGTAGGAACTGCATGGAGAACATTTGAATTTGATCATCTTAAGGTCTTTTCCAGCCTAAATGATTCCATGATTCATGGCTGCTGTTGGAGGGAGTAAACGTCTTTCACAGTGTTGTCTGGGGAGGGAGGTGCTGCAGAACAATGTGTCTGCCTTGTGTGGGAGATCTCCAGAGCCCCTCATGTTCTAAGAACGATTCCTTGTGCCTTGAAACTGGAATTAACAAAGATCACATCATGAAATGATGTTTCCCTGTGGAGAAGGTACCCTATATTATTTGAGGAGCAATCTTCTCTATAGGAAGAAAACTTAAGGAAACTACTTGATGCTACTTTGCAATTATGTAAATTACACATTTGGTGATGACTCAACTAAAACTGGTATTTTTACAATGTTTTTGAAATTGGATTTGTTTCTTCCAGTGCCAGTGATGCTCTTAAAGGAGAAGGATTACAAGAAGGTGTGGATTGGCTCCAAGGTATATCATACGTAATTCTCTTGATGTATTTTCATGCCGTTAAACTCTTTCATTTTGTAAGGTTTTTTCTTTATTATTTCCTTTGTTTTCTTTCTGTCCATTTCTGCTGTCAGATCAAATTACACAGTAAGTACTAAAGCTCTGTCTCATATTTGCCTTTCATTTACCTCCTTAATGTACACAAAACATAATGTGGGCTTCCCTGACCAAAGTGTGTATTATGAAATACTAATGCACACTCTTGTAAACAGTGTAGCACTTTCATTTATACAATACCAGCTCCCATACTTCAATTTCTTATTGTGGTAGTTCAGTTTCTTCTTTAATTTATTTTTAATGTCCTGTCCCTGTTTTACATAATTTAATGTTATGTATCAAGAAAGGGTGAAGAAAATAAGCCGGGTACACAGACAAATACACTGGTTTTAATTATACAGCTTCAGCTCTTTAATCCAGAGCCAAAAGAACTTCTTACACTATAACGATTATAGGACATGCAGATACTCATAACTGCATGGAAGAAAATATCAGATCCAGCTCAGATGATGACTGACATCCAGCATCTTTAATTACAAACTTGGTACAGATGTTGTGTAATTAAAAACGGTACAGATGTTGTGTCTCCTTCTGTTGTGTGCTGCTAAGGCTCTGGTCTCTCTTGTCCTCCTGCTCAGCGTTTAGATTAGTGAAGTGTGGCATAGTTTCGGCAGCCTGGTCCCCGTTTTAGCTCCCTGGCTGGCGTTGCTTGTGCTGTGAAGTGCTTGGGGTGGTGCGGGCTGAGCTGCGCTGCAGCAGCCGCTGTGCTGTGCCCCGCTGGCCGCGGGGTGTCAGCGCTGGCCCGGGGACAGAGCCTCCTTCAGCAGGGTGACAGCCTGCCCTGGCCCGGGGACAGAGCCTCCTTCAGCAGGGTGACAGCCTGCCCTGGCCCGGGCTAACCCATCCCCACTGCTCTGGGGACACCAGGCTGTCCTTGCTGCTTAAACTCGTCCTGCTGACCAGAACAAGATGGTTTGTTCTGCCGAGTTATTGTAGAGTACAAAAACATTCGTGATGTTTTCAGAGGGAGGGCTGCTTGCCAAAAATAGTCTTTAGAAAGAGATTTACTGCCCTACGGAAGAGCAGTGATGTATCCTCACCAGCTAAAATAATTCTGGGGTGGGGAACCAGGATTTTGGTATTGGGTTTCCTCCTCTCCTGTATCCTGTCATCATAAAGGCAGATTCCAAAACCTAATTTTCCCTAATTTCAGGCATAGTTCTGGCTTAGTAATGTTTTCTTTCTGTGTTCAGTCTCTGCTTCTCTTGGGGGAACCTTTAGAGTTTCAGTCCAAATTTTGGGTTTATACATGGCTTCATGCTACTTAAAAGGATCTCAAATGCTTGTGTAAATATTTTCTGACAAAATATTTAAGTTATATATGTAGATTTTTTTAAGCACAGCAGCAGATGCTGTCACAGATGCTTCTGCTGTCACTCACATAGCTCTTCACAGCCATTCACTTCTTATGGAGTGTTAAATTTCTTAATTTTCTGAGCTGAAAATCCTCATGGATGGGCTCTATCTGAAAATTTCCTTTAATTCCCTGGTTCAGTGAACCCAAAAGCTTAAAAGAGGGGTTGAGTTTTAACTGTTACCTAAGCACATGTAGTTTGGCGATTATATGTTTAAAGGCTGAATACTTTGATATTCCAAGGACAATTTTTTACTCTTGATTCTCATTCCTAGAGCACCAGATGGAAATATTTGGAACAACTCTGTAGTTATGGTAGTCCCTAAATCACAGCCTGGGGATGCCATAAAATTGAGGACGAAATGACACCTGGTGAATTAGTTCTTGTCAGCAGCCAAGCTTTCCTTAATTACCCTTTCCAGAGCCACTTCACAGCTGGGGTGGCAGGGTGGTGTGGTTTTTTTCCTACTGAAGACCAAGTTTGTTATTTCCATATTTTGTAATGGGGTTGCTTTTGCAGCAGCACATCCTCCACAGGGTAAAACAAACCTGTCTCACAACATTCCCCCTTAGTGGGGGAAGTTGTGCTGATTTCCACATTTTGTAATGGGATGCTGGATGCTTTTTGGTAACCAAGAAAACATTTGAAGTGAGTAGAGAAGTGGCAATCAGGCAGCAATATGGAGAAGTGTGGCTACTGACAGCAGAGTTTCATTTCAGTTATTAGAAACCAAACTAAATATTTTGCTATTGGGTGGTTTATGTTCAGTTAGGTGGAAGCCAAAATGCCTACAAGGAATTGAAATGCATACTTCATAAAACTTCATACTTCATAAAACAAACTACCAGGTCTTATGGTCATCAAAGTGATCTTACAAGCCTGAAGAAGATGAAAATTGTATTAAGTGGAAGAGTCTTCCTGTTAAATTAGCAAGATTTGGGGAAAACAACTTGGCTGTACAGGAATTTCAGAAGTGGATGAGAGAGCAAGTTGAAAACAACTCCTCATTGTCCCCCCATTCTTGTAACTACACTAAAATATCTAGATGGGTTTTATGTTTTCAAAAAGCAAAACGCAGCAAGAATTCATCTTGTGCTAAGACTAGATGTTTCTTTTTATTAACAGGTCAGATGCAAGCAATGAAGACATGAGAGATAAATAAAGGATCTATGAGGTTCTTTTATGCCCTTTGTCAGTAGGTGAACAAGTTTCTTGGAAAGGAAGAATGATTTGAAGATGAACATTTCAGCTAAAATATCCTGTATTGACTTGTTTCAGTTTAGTATTTCTTCCAGGAAAACTGAATGTAGACAACCTAGCACCTCAGGTATGCACATTGATGAATTAAATTGAATCTTGTGACTGGAGAGCATATACAAAAAAAAAAAATTGTGTTAACAATAAACATCTGCATTCATTTGAGGTTTAAGTGATAATTAGCCATTAGTAAATGCCCCTCTGTTTTTTGGGGGGACACCTTTTGAGGAAATGGGAATATTTATTTTCCAGAGAGAATAATCAACACTTCCTGAAATCCAGCTACATAAAATACCTACTGATTTTAATTGCCTAGTTGCAGGCATTACTGCCATTTTTTTATATTAAAGTTTGATTTTGGGTTTTTATTATCCATCTCTAATATACATCTATAAGAGTATTTTGATTAAAGATATAAGGATTCAAATGTTCAGTGTATTTGTTATAGATGATTGCAGATGTTTTTAAGAAATTGCTTTTAAGAAAATGTTACTAATTGTTTTGTGATTATGCCATGGTTATATTTGTATTCCCATCAATAAAACATCAAATATATGACATGCCCTGATTGGGTTTTTTAACTTCAATATGCTCATTAATGATCTTTACATCCTAGAGATTTTTGGTTTTTTATTTTTTTCATTTGGAATGTGTTTATCCATATTCAAGTGGATATAGCACTGTATGTGTAATAAAATGGTATCTCTGTTGCCAAGGGTTTTTTTTTATTAATTGCATGTATTTTTTACACTACCTAATGCACTAGACTTCCCTTCCAGATACTTAAGGAGTATATGAATTACAGGATGGGTCAGACTGGAAGGGACCACAGTGGGGTCATCTGGCCCAAATTCCCTGCTCAGGCAGGACCATCCCAGAGCACATGGCACAGGATTGCATCTGGGTGGTTCTGGAATATCCCCAGTGAGGGGCACTCCACAGCCTCTCTGGACAATCTGTTCCAGTGCATGGTCACTGCACAGAAAAGTTCTTCTCATGTCCAGGTGGAACTTCCTGTGCATCAGTTTCTTGCAAGTTGTTCAAAAACACAGTTAAGGGACAGCTCACTGGTTTATCAGATCATTATTATGAAATGTGTTATATACTTCTGTTGTGTATACAGATTGTTTTACTTCCAAAAATTAAATTGAATAAACTTTCTGGCTCCAAAGTGTACCACAGATAAAAAATTAAGAATTTTATTTTTGTTCTGCCACTTCAGGAAAGAGCAGACTGGCTCTGATAGTGCTGAAGACTCCATTTAACTCAGTGATTACCTGATCCCTGTGGGACATATAATATGCATCTCTTGCAAAAGCTTCCCCCCACACCATTAGCATATAAGACACACAAATGATCTGTCAGCATGCCTTCTAGGCCTCATCTCATAGAGCAGCATTTGGAGCAAAGGGAGCTGAAATGGGAGAACAGTGTCATGTACTCTGTTATTAAATAGTTAAATTTAACTCCCCTGCTTTGCCAAAAGAAAATCTCACTGTAAGAAATCTTTCTTACAGGATGCTGGTTCTTGTCACAGTTCAGTTTGTCATGGAAGTATTTTCATGTCTCTTTCTGTGACACTGTTGGTCTTTTGTTGACTCTGAATCTAAGTATCAATACAAAAATCAAATACAAAAGAGGAACAGTAATATATAATTGTGAGAAGTTTTCCTCTGAATTGTGAGTAGATAATTTTTGGGTTTACTTTGCTTTGGATAGTACAATAATTAAAATAGTGGGTTGAAAGGGACATTAAAGATCAGTGAGTTCCAGCCCCCCACCTTGCTTGGACAAGGGACACCTTCCACCTGGCCGGGTTGCTCAGAGCTACATCTAGTCTGGCTTTGAACAATTCCAAGGGTGGGAAGACTACAAATTCCTTGGGTAATCACTGCCAGTGCCTCACCATGCTCTCAGTAAAGAATTTCTTCCTAATACTTAATAAAAAACTATTGTCTTGAAGCTAATATTTGTAAAACTGTTTTGCTGTGTATAAGTATTTTGTAATTATTGTGATTCACTTATATGTCTTATTTAAATCAAACATTTAGTTTTAAGTTAGCAGTTTCTTCCCTATCAAAGAAAATTTAAGTTCTTACATAGAATCTGTGTGCATTTCTGCCTTCCCTGAATGGTATGGATCTTGATGGTTTTCTGATAATTTTTGTTTATTTTAAATTACATAAAGTGCTATATTTATCCTGTGGATTGCCTTTACTGTTATGGGAAGCTGTTTGAACCACTGCTTTGTTCTTTCATCCACAGATCCGAGGGAAATACTCTAATGTTTTATTTTTTGCTATCTAATGTGGCTAGTGCTTTTTGAAATCAGTAGTTAGTTTTGTACTTTTATTAATGTTCCCCTTCTTGATTTTTTGGTGTTTGATTTTGTTCTACAGCATCTCTTTTCTGTTCCTCCCGTGTGAGGCACTAGTCTGAATGAAGAGACCTGTTGAAAGGAATGGAAATAGGAACAGTTCTATTAGTAAAATGCTGGATTTTTATTCCCCTCTGCCCCTCCTCATTACTCCTTCAGCCATTAGTTATCTCTTGCTTTTGGATCATTTTGTGAACATGAAACCTCCTGAGGGCATCTCTCCATGTTCACCTCTCCTTAGTGTGCAGGCATAAGTCACTAATATCCACAGGTGCTGGAGCCCTGAGTTGCTCTAAAAATGTTGAATTTTGTTGGTCCTATATTGCACAAAATCCTCATGTGTCTGTGCAAAAAGGCTGCTTTGGAGTTGGTTTTTGTGGCTGTCAGACTTCCATGCCATTCTTCCATTACATTTAGGATGTTAAAGTAATGAATGAGTTCTATCTGGGTGCTCCAAGACCATTTGCACTGACAAGTTCTTTGTCCCTGAGGAACAAAGCAGACAAGGGAATATTCCTTTTATTGATCCATGTTACTGTAGATGTGTGCATTAAGTGGTAACTTGAAGGGCAATAGAGTGACCAAAAGAGATTGAAGGAATTTGGTCTTTACACCCCACTCAGTGTTTTGTGCTCTTGATTCTATGCCTGCTGCCCACCTACATATTTTATTAATTTCCTTTAAATACGCCTGGTCACGCTTAAGACTAGCATTTTCAGCTGAAATATGGTGCAGTTGTTTTCACATACAAAGTGTTGCCTTCTAGGTCTCTTCACTGAAAAGGAAGCTATCAGGTAAATGTGTAAATCCTGATTTTCCTAGCTGTGCCTCTCTAGTAGTGAGAGCACCAGTCCATGGGAACCTTGTGTTTAACTGCTGCTTGCAGCTGTGCTGAGAGCCTGCGTGGCCTCAACACTCCTGGGCGATTTCACATGAAGTTCTAAGTGTGAGGATGTAAATGTAATGGAGCCTTCTTTTAATCTCAGCTCTCTAACTGTAATTTCCTCGGGGTGTTTTATTTACTAATATGAAAGATAAGCTGCTGTAGAAGACCAGACATAACAGCTCGGCTTAGTTGTCTGCAGACAGGCATTCTGATGTGGTAATACGTGGAATGGTAATGTTGCACTTTAGAGCTTCTGTAAAACAGCTGTGCAACTGTTTTAGAAAGCAGCTTATGTCTTAGGAGCCTTAAGTAGGAAATATCATTTTGTTGGTAATAAGAAGTAAAAGTAATGCTGATTCAAAATGCTTGTCCTTAAAAGCAAACATTTATTAAGCCAAGAAATGGTGTTTAATCTCAAAAGGAGTGGGGCTGGGGGGAGTTTTTGTTTGTTTAAGATTTACTTGTTTTTAAAGTTTTTCTTGGTTAGAAAAATCACTCTTTTAATTATTAATTCCTGTAATCCATTTATTTCATTCCTTCTAGCCTGCCTCATTCCCATTTTACAGAAATCCTTACAAATCTTGATCTTCAACATTTTGGTCTGCTTATTTTAAACTTAGCTGAGTATTCTGCTAGTGAAACTTTGCAGCTCCCTTCCCTGTTGGTTTTAGGTCAGTTTTTTTGAGTAACAAAATAGATAATGAGAGAAGGTCACAGAAGCACTATAAAAGCAAAAAAGGGTACTACCAAGAAAGTCTCCAACTCTCCTCTTTCAGAAGGGTCAGGAACGTTTGCTTTCAAAGGTTAATGTTATATGCCCTGATCCTTTTTTATTAATTTTTCACTACTTAAATTTAAAAATGCACTGTTACTATGCAAAACCAATATTGTGTGTAGTAGCTAAAATGAGTTCAGAACTTTAAATGCTCTCTTGTAACAAATGCCAAGTGTTTTTAGTAATATTTTGTAACCATCCTTTAGTTCAAGATTCTGTAGCTCCTGTCACAGTAAGTTACATTAGGGAAGCATCTGTGTTTGTGTGAACCAGCACTTGGTAATTAATTTGCCACTGTTCAGGCAGTTGTATTTACCACTTAATTGGTTGAATTTCCCTGGCCATATGAAATTCTTGCTCTCACAAGTACAGCATGTACGTGATAATGTACTGTTCTCCTTCAGTGCATGTCAGCATCTCACCATGCAAATCAGCCGTGTTTGCTTTTCCCACTTGCCTAATGACAGCATGAAACCCCCTCCCACTACTGTTTTTCAAAATAAATCCTTGAAATGAAAGCTAGGTTCTTAATGTCTGTCTACCATTAAATGATCTTGTGTTCCCCAAACTGTTTCCCAGGAGATGAACTTAATTGTATTACAATCATATTACTCAGGCACCAGCTCAAAAGGGGGTGTTTGTAATTTCTCTGGGATTCAGGGAGCACCTTTGAAGAACAGAGTAACTTGTGTAGTAAAGGAAGTGTAAATTTAGCAACTTCATGCTAGGCAGTCTTTTGGCAAACAACGTTGTCTTTGAAAATCAGTAAGTAGATTGAAGGCCTAGCAAAATAGTTACTGAACCAAATTTAGTTTGCTGAAGAGTTGCCTAATAGTTCTCAATAAAGGGAACGAAAGATTTAAAAAATCAAGGAAATTGGGATGTGTGGAGGAAATTTCTTTGGGCTGGAGTTACGCTAGTGAATATTAAAGAAACTTAAGCCTCATGAAGCTCAGTGAGGTAACCGGAATAAATGATTGAAGTGGATGCTTGGTAATACAGACTATCAAACTGCTTTTACAGAGCAAAGAGAGTTGGTGCTGAGAGCCTGATACACTAATCTGTGTGGCCTCAGCTTCCTTCAGCATGAGCCTTTCCAAGGGCTTTTCAGTCCTTGGAGCACGCTGTGCACTCTTGGATGTAGTTTGATCCAAAAAATAATTCAGTTCATGTCCTCCTAGCCAACTCTGCCATGTAAACAAAAGCACTGTTAGTGAGGATTATCTTTAAAATACCCTCCTGACCTGAATTAATGCACAAGTGCAGGCATGCCTGTACAAAACTAAGAGGGAAACAATCCTAAATTTTTCAAACCATGGGATTGGAACCATGTGAAAGAACAGCAGAATTTGGCAAGAGGTCTCCACAAGCCAAGGTTCCCCAGGAATAATGCCAATGAATTATTTAGGAAAAATACACGTTTGAAGTGTGCTGCACTTGGAACTGTGAAAGTTTGTTCCACAAATACAGGATATAACCATTGGACAGGGTTTAAGGGGTAACACTTCCAACTTGAAAGAAATGGCATAATGTCACTTGTGAAAAACAGGCAGTCATCATGAGTAAATAATAATAAATATTAAAATCTTTGTGTCAATAATAAAATAGTCTGTGAGGCATCACTGCTGTTCTTGGCATCATCTGTATTTATGATCACACAGGTTTAAAGATG